CCTCCCCTCTTGGCTAGACGTGTATGTCACCTTGCTTCTAGTGGTTCTGGTGCTGAGAGAGTCGACCTTACTCCCTACTCAGTCTCCGTGCCAGTGTGAATCCCTCTGCATTTTTCCAGAGGGGCTGTTTCTTGAAACTCCCTGTCAACACCTCCTTGTAGCACCGCACCCACTCAGAATACAAAGCAGACAGCCCTGAAACCTCTGCAGATCCATAGAAGCTCAAGTGTTTGCTTACAGAACATACACATACAAACACATGCACAGGAAAGTTAAGTATGGTTCTTAAATCTGATGCCTTGCAACATTTTATACACTGTTAAAGGATTTTCCTGAGCTTCCAGGACCTTTGCTGATGTCTTAGAGAGGCTTGACAGAAAATCTGTAGAAACCAATGTATTGCAGAAGTAAAACATTTACTGTCATGTCAAGCATAACTGTACAAAACGCTCCTTTGCTGCTGTTCAATGACCTGTAATGCAGTTGTGTCAGATGTGTTCAACAAATTGTGTGGCTCCCTGCTTAGTTACCAGATCTCAATCCAACTGAGCATCTCTGGGAACATTAGAAACATACAAAGAAGAATGCTTGGATGTAAAATACGGTGAACTGTCCCCAGGCGAAAAACATGGACGTACCAAATTTTGGCATTAGGTAAATAACACACGAAACATGAAAAAATATTAGACCTGAAACAATTAGTAGAGTAATCGATCAACAAAAGAAAAGAGCCAATGAGAAAAAAATTGTTGTTTTTTAAGCAAAGCAAAAGCCAAACATTCGCCAGCAGTAGTTTCTTGATTGTCTCTGATGTTTATGATCAGAAACTGAATATTTTGGATTTGGACTGTTTGTCAGACAAGATGGCCTTTAGACCTTAGACCTTGGCCTTTAGAAAACAGCAATAGGCATTTTTCAGTTTTTTTCCAACATCTTAGACCATAAAATGAGAAAGAAGCCATCAGATTGATCAGTAATGAAAATAATAGTTAGTTGCAGCCCATCGTAGCCCATGCACATAGGTGAAACAGTTGTAAGGGAATGGGTCAGGGTGGGTGCAAACAGATTCCTCCACTATTCCATATTTTATATTGTATTCATATTGCACTCTGTAATTCATAGAAGGTAATAGTAGCTTTCATGGCTTCCTACTGTGCCTGTTGGAAATTATACAGCACTTTCTGCTCCGACTGGAAACTGATTACATATGCTGATTCTATGTGCGTCTGCCCATACCTAACATTATAAAAACTAGAATTACCACCTCGCGGTTTTATGTCTCTGCCAGCCAGTACACGAGAATGCAAAGGACATGAGATCACTGTGACCGTGACCTTTACCTTTGACCACCAAAATCTAATCAGTTCATCCTTGAGTCCAAGTGGATGTTTGTGCCAAATTTGAGATACCATGTATACGAAAATGAGACAGTCAGACAACCTAAAAACATTACGGCTCCAGCCGTGGCTCTTGTCTTGAATTATTCTTGTACTCTGCCCTTAATAGTATCTTCAGGCTGGCATAATTATGATTTAAAAAGATAGAAAGTAGACCCCGCTGTGTGATATACTCTGCTTCACGGGTTACACTGTGGTTCTGCACAAAAACAACTCATGATGAAAAACAGAGAAGGGGAAAGTCTACAAAAACCTCTCAGCAGCTGCACTGCTAAACAAGTACCTGCCTCTCCTTTACAATGCCAATTTACTCATACCGGCTCTAATCAAAGTGGACTGCTGACTAAATGAAAACCGATTGTGGCCCCAAATTTTTGCTGTTTCCAGACTGAAAGTGTTGACAACAGAGAGGACAAGTCTCAAGATGATTTGTGGATTTTTCTTGGTACATGCAGTCCCTTTTTACCTAGGCCTGTTAAATTGGCATGGGAAAGGCGCGTCTCTGAGGGCTCTTGGCCAAATCTTTGAGGTAAAGCTCCAGTCTCACTAGACCCTGTCCACCTGTCAAAAAGCTGCACCTCACTCTCCCCATCCTTTTCCTGGGGATTTCAGTGAGATGGGATCCTTCAACCAAAACGCCTGAGACTGCTTGAGGTTTATTAAAGGAGCTTTTCGTGTGTAGTGATTTCCATATACTGCAGGTAACTTGCTGTTTAATTTGCTTTCCATTCATGATAATGCAGTACAGTGCTCCTTAAGTATGACTTTTACACTGCTGAGTAAGGAAAACACTGAAACAATATAGATGCAATTACACAAAATTAAAGATGCAGGCAAAAATAAATTATATAAAGAAAGAGAAACAGAAAATATAAGTGATGTAAAAATAACCGAGTACAAATGACAATCATATATACAGTCTCAGCAAAAGCCAGTGTAAAAAGGTCAACTCTGAGCTAGGCTGGACGATAAGAAATAAAATCTATATTAGAATAAACCCTCATATTTACTTTACCTAGAGAGGCTCTGATGGGCTACACAGATCCCCATCCACAATTCTCTGCCTCTGCTTTGCTCACGTAAACATAAACACCTCCAGGCCTACCCGCAAATTTATCTCCTCACTATCTGAATGAAAATTCACCCGAGGGCATCAGATACCTGGAATGCCTTAACTGGCTCCTCTCTATGGAAGGCGCTTGGAGTTCTAATCATTGCCACCCTGTGTAAGGATGGGCCTAGCCACACTGCAAAGGAAGCTAAAATATTTATAAGTATAGTCAGATCTGAACACAAAGGAGGAAAGCCAGTATTTTCTAGCAGAGTATCACATTCTCCATCTTGGTGCCGACCCTCATCCCTACTCCTTTACACTTGGTTGCAAATAGTCCCCTGTGTGTGCTGGAAGTCACAGGCCACAGATGCCATAACTTCATCAGAGGCAAGAAGCACAGATGCAAACCTGGGATGACCAAACTGGACACTCTCCACTATTTGGCTACACCTCCTGCTGCATTCTCAGTTTAATTAAAAGGGATTGTGACACTTATTAATTTAGATTTTCTGCTATCTGCAGATCTACTGGGAGGCTGCTCCAACAAGTAGGGAGAGGTGTTTTTCCGATATTTTAAGACTTTCTTACTCAAAAGGCTACTTCCAGGGCACCTGGCCTTTGGGTTTGTACATTAAAAGCATGTCACACAAGGCCCTGCAGAACTTCATGAAATAGTAACAAATCTGAAAAATCAATATCTAAACTAGCCAGTGAAGGTGTCAAGTGTGCTCTTCTGATCCTTATCATGGCTGGATCAATTGTAGCTGATCTATGGCTTTTTCGGAGGGAGGCCAGATATGAGAGGACTACAACAGATACCATGAAGTCATCTACAGCCACAACAAATTCATTACAAAATATGTAGATGTGTAAACCAGTTGAATACATTTCCAAATGGGCAAACACAATCCCTCAAATTAAACTGATTTGATGCCACACTTTATCAATTTACTTCATCCTCACTGCTTTTCTTTACAAAAATTATATTCTTGAGTCCTGCTGGGGAAAACGCCCTTTTGTAGTAGGTGAGTCACATCTGTTGGCATCTCATCAGACAGACCAGGCAAAAAATGTAATGTTTAAGAAGCTGCCATTTGGTCATACAAATGTTAAAGTAAGGATAAATAATTGAAGGAAAAGCAGGTGGGTGGTTGGATGTACAGATGATGTCTGAAAGTAAAAAAAAAAAAATTTCCACTAAGAGTACTAACCTTGGCATGGACAGCGTAGGAGGCCAGCAGCACAGAGGCCTCAGGTGGACAGTGAATCTCTTCCTCAAGGATCTTCTTCTTCACCTGAGGAGTTTCCAAATATAATCAGCTTTGATGCACTAGCCATTTTGTAATGCATGTAACCAGCTCAATAACAAAGCCCTTTTCATTTCTCTTGACCTTTCAAGCACAAAAATCAATTCCACATTGACTGTGCAGGTAATTTTTTCTGTGCCATTTAGCTGTTTGTTAAATCAGAAGAGTAGTTTTTCACTATTAAATGCTGGATCAGTACCAAAGACATTACTGGGGGAAACTATCATCTGCTGTATAAATAAGGACAGCTGCTTTTTGTCTTCAATTTTAGTATTACATCTCCTTCATATTGATTTCCTTGAGAAGAGCAAAATGATTCTTCTGAGATGAAGGACCTGAATCAGACTGACAGCTGAGCAACACAATGAAGAGTGACAGAGCACACAACACAAATATTTGACAACTGTGCTTTTGACAGCTACAGCTTTATTCCCCTAATTCCACTTTGTGAAAAACAGTGTTAAAGCAACAATTTTCAAAAGCCCCAGTTTCAAGTTACTACTGTACATGCTGCAAACTGAGTACATAAACTCCCAGCTACACTACACTGGTACTTGCTCATTTCAGGGAGGTCTGAAAATAGCACAAACTGTGCCAAGTAAGTATTGGAAGACTTAAGTATCATAGCCACATGGGGACCTATTAGAAACCCAGCCAGGAACTATGTACTTAAGCCAGTAGTATTTCATATGATTATTAAGATATTCCAAGAATAGAGTACCAGCACGTTAGCTGACAGAGCATACGGTTCTAGAAAAGCTTCAAATTTTAATTAGAGGAGGATGCCACCCATTTTTATAATGTCTTATTGCTGCACCCCCAGGACAGCTGATTCTGTGCGTATGAATTCAGTCCAATCAGTGTGAGTGACAAATTCAAGGATTACATCTCCAGTCTATAGCTTAAGGAAAGAGCAGCTCATGTTTACAAGTGCTGACTCAACTGTCAGGGATCGCAGTAATAATATGAATTTTTAAAATGACCAGCAATCCCCTTTAACAAGCTCCCTCCAGATTAAAGTGCTACTTCCCACCAGGTATCACTCCTCAGGTGCCGTCACCTGTCAAACTAATTGAATCACAAACTTGTATAACAGCATATTGAGCACAAAGTCGGACTGTAAGGTTAAGACTGTGCAAACATTCTTCAGCTGTCGTTACGTAACTGGTCAATTTAATGCTTCAAACCTTGTCATTCACAAAGCCAGTCATGCTGTCTTCTCTTGTTTTGAACTAACAGAGGTGTGGAGATCGGGATGACAGTCCCTAATTGTGGCAAGCAGTAAGAGGCAGAGGCTGCAATCTGGATTACAGATGAGACTATGTTGTGGCTAAGAATGCAGGCCAAGGTGACAAAGATGTGCATGTATCTGTTTGGGTAATTGGTCTGAAGTGTGTGAGGTGTGTGTTTATATCCGGGTCAGTGATGATTTCTGATAAGCACTAATCCAGCTGTCATGCCTGTGACACTATCTGAAGACAGGCCAGCCACCAGCATTAGGGGATTAATGAAAGCAAAGTAATAAGGTGACAGGAGGCACTACACATTTGTATTCTACTCCCCTTGTAGCCATCTACTGCTTTAACTGTTGAGTAAATTGTCCTTTGTTAGTGGGGGATCCCTCTGAAATAAATAAACTGCTTTAACTACCTTTAAATGGATTAAAGACACAGAGACACTTTTTATGTGCCTTAAGTAGATAAATGCTTCTGCCACAAATGTTGAGAAACACAACTGAACTGCTATCTAAAGCCAGTTGAATTTCTAACTAAACCATGAATGTATGATATATGATGGAAATATTGAGGGACAAGCATCCCATGGAGAATATTTATTTAACTGGGCCAATAATTAAGGCTTGAAAGCCTAACTGGTAATTGATACATATATGCGGCTGATAGCACTGGACGATGACAGCCTAGTTCAAATCTCATTTCTTGGGAGAACGGTGTGGCCGGCTCTGTAGGAATTCCCCAGAGAGTTAAGCAGAGAGAAAAGGCAGCGGTAATATGTTGTGCATTGATTCCACATGGCTGCACACAATCAGACTGGGACAATGGAAAAAGTGTATTACAACATGCTCTGCTCAACAACTTGTCAAACTCTGTGGACATGTGCTCCCTGTAGGCACCAAATCAGAATGTTAAAGAAGTAGCAGCCAAATGCCTGGTGTAATCTGGAAAAGGGTGAAATGGATAAGCCTAATTTTACAGATCATTTTAAAGACTTGTGTTCTCTAGCACTAATGTTTAAAGTATTCATCTTAAAATGCCCATGGCATTTAATGTTTAATCTCAGGTACCTCGAGATTAGCTTTGGACCCATCATAACTCCAAATAATTTATTTCAGAACAATAAAACCTGATAATGCAAGGAGAGCTGCCTCTTGAAAATGAGAGAATAGTTCATGCACGTACAACTTACTGTTACATCCCACCGAGTAGTGGAAACTTCAAGGTCGGTAAATCCAACCAGTGATCGCTGCGTCTTCCCCCACAAATCCCTCACATTACAGGGGACCACATAACATTCCCAACAGATAGCCTTGCGCCAACAATAACATCATTAGAATCCATTCGCTGATCAATCACCACACCCAAGGGTGCTTCGCTGGCTGGCTGCCTGTAGGTTTCCAGCTGCTCCATTCACACCACATTAGACCCAGTCAGGTAAAACAGTGAGTCTCTGTACATGAACATTCACAGTCATGCAGTAAGCTCAGGCCCTGTATTTTTCTCCACATCCTCTGGTCACACTGCAGGAAGCAGGAGGCAACGTATACCCACAAAACTGCGTGCAGTCAAAAAATTCCACTTTTAGAATGGCACCAGTGGATATCCGGCAAGCTCACATGAATGTACACAGCCAGGAGAATATGATTATTCCAGGAAATCCATAAACTATTGTGCAAGACTTGACATAGATGGCAAAAAAGGCTCACCGAGTAAGAAGTACAACAACATAGGTACACCTATTTTTTTAAGCTTTCAATCACATTTAAGATGATAAATCATCATTATAACATTGTAGATAAGTCAGAAAACACAGAAAAGCATGCCATGGGCTCTTTAACTAAACTAGCTCCTCGGAAAGATGAGACCCACTTCTATGCATAGTTTCTTTTAAAGGCTCAAACACAGCACCCCTCTGCAAAGACTTCGCTCAAGGAAAAAACTGTCTGTCTACTAGCCAGCATCAATCCACAGCTTCTTCTAAGATGCATATTGGATCTCAGGTTTCCAATCAGACAAGGCCACAGTCAGGGGTGGGAGCTCACACTGTTAGTCAGTATGTGAACATGCTTTGCCTCTACTGGTATGGTTGCAGGTTAGTAAGCTGCTGATTCCAGTGTTAGCTGAGACAGTTGCATGAAAAAGAAGGACAAGAAAAGAGTTTTGAAAAGAAGGAAGAAATGAAACAAACAGAACCGGATTTAGACCATAACATTAGATCAGTGCCCACCATTTGAATGCTGTCCACTAACTAAATTTATTTCCAAATTGTGACAATGTGTGACCGGTTTCACATTCATGAAGGGTCGGGTGGGCTGAGCAGCGAGAGGGAGGGCTTTGTGTAGCGGAGGTGATTGATTCTAGCCTCATACTAGTGCCAACTAGATTTTCAAGTGTTACATAATTCACCTTTAAAATAGAAAAAAACACAACTCGACATATAAGCATAATAAAACAACAAATTTATATTATGTTGCTATAGCTACCTGTAGAAAGAACAGATGTTGTGTGATATCTTGCACTAGCTCATCTTCAGCATTTTCAGGGTAAAACTTTGCCAGAAAATGAAGAGTGACTGGTTCCTCCTTTGGTACCTCCTGATCCAGAACCTGCAACAATAAACGACAAAGAAATCAGCATTTGCACAGTGAGGGAAATCTGTTTCCTTTCCATAGCTGCTACATCTATCTGAATAACATTGACAAGACCTCTATGACATGAGAATTATTTACCCTCTTATCCATTTTCAGCCAAGCAACGGTGTCCTTGATGTTGTACTGGAGCCCAAAGAACCATGTTTCTCTCAGTCCCAGAGCCCGGCACACCAAGTCAAAAAGGTTTTTTCCCTTCCACTTGACCTGTAACACATAAATGTTTTAGTCTTCTAAATGTTTTTAAGAAGAGGAAAAACAAAAAATGTTGAATTAACAACATTAAATGAATTGATATTGAAAGAGATATTCTCCAAAAACACTATAAAAAACTGACAGTAATAATGTGTGTACTTAAAATCACTAAATTCTTTATAATATTAAAATACTGAAAGCCCTTCAGCACATCCTGTCTACGGAATCCATCCATGGCCATAGATGTTCCTCTCAACCAGCTGAGTTCTATAGGAGTGAGGTGCAAATATCCATTTTAGATAACTTTCATTTTTAGCCTCTCAGCTAACTGGGGGTTCTACTGTCAAGTGGTTTCAGGGTTGCTGTGGAAAACATTTTTTGTTAAAAACTGCTAGAAGTGTGAGTGAGTATCAGCTCGGATGGCAACTAGGGCCAATCAAAAGTCCCTACACAAGACTAAATGAACATTTTATCTACTGTATGTGGCCTCTACATGTTAACTGTTGCTATTTACAAAACACATAATTGGTACAATTATCATCCCAGTACAGAAAATAAAAACCGCCAAGTGACATAATGCTACTCTGTATAATTATCAGCTGCAAGTATTGGCAGGGTTCCTTCCCTTTAAGTACAGAGATAGTGGTTTTGATGCCTTTCAGCTCCTGTCATCAACAAGTCATACTATTCCAAGATCATTACAAGAAGGAAAAATATACAGTATAAAACAGAGTTGAGATACCACCATGACATGATTATTATGGTCACACCATAGAATGATTGACAATTTCCTTTTCAGCCAGGTCCTGTGCTGCACTGGGCTTTACTATTGAATCTTCCCGATTCCACTGCTGCATATGCCTGAAATAAATTATAACACACATGGTCTTCTATAGAACCGACTTACTACACCTATTCATGTGTTCATAGTTTCTTGCTACCACCTAGTGTTGAAAATTGAAACATTCATATTGATCTTACAAGTAATTGGGTATAGGTAAACTCTGTGCCTTAATTCAGTTGCCATTAGAGATTATGGTAAAGAATAAAATATTGTAGTAGTTGCAGTATTGTGCATGTTAAACACTGTCAGTAAGAGAACTGAGATGGGCTTGGTGGTGTGCTTAGGACCGCTACACGTGTTTGCTATAGTTCTTAGTAAGCAGAATGAAAACACAGTCTCTCTCTCACACACACACACACACCTCGCAGCTGAACTCCATGTCTGACTCCATTGTGCAGATTCTGACGCTGAAGTTCCTGGGTTGTTTTCTTATCAGTGAATTAAATCCCATTTTCGCAGCTAAGGCACTTGCCATGGCGATGAGCTAACAAACGAACTGTTCGATTATCCAAAGGTGTAATTTCTACAAACTGAGAACACTGTCATGGCCTTAGTCTACTCTACTGTATGGTTGAGACATCATGTGTCATTTGGCATTGCTTCGTTATCGAAGGATAAATACGTCCGGTACATGTGAACGTCCAACTTTAAATTAATGATATCTCAATTCCATCAAAGTTTACACGAGGGTTTAACTCACATTTTATTGGTTATTATTATGTCATAAACATTACCTACGTGGCGTAGTTATTTGTAACTTTGCGTTAGCTACCAAAGAAAATGTTTACAAATACATTTAGCAGCTGATAAATACAATCTACGGTTAGGCTTGCTACTGATGTTAGCTAATGTAAAACTGAAGAGAAAGACACGCGAAATTAGCTGGCTATCTAAGGCTACATATCCAGTATAAACTCTTGGCTTGGGCTAAAGTTGTACGTGTCTATACCGAACCATGAACTCCGTTTAAGTTTACATCTAGGCATCCGAAAATGATTAGTCCAGTATATCCCTCCTGGAAAGTTCAAAACACTTAGACCGTTGCATATAAACTATGCTGGAAACGAAGCGCTGGCTAACTAATGCTAACCATATGATAGCTCTCTCATCCAAACAGCAATGGTAGATTTAAGTGCCGTCCAGAATCACATTAAAAGACATTAAAAGCGAAGGTATTTGGGGTACAGAGCATATAATCTTAACCCCACATTAGACACTAAATAAACATAAAATGCGGATCGTAAAAATATTTAAACATTTTTGATAGTATACGCTATGTAACCTTAATAAACCCCCCCTTTTTAATTTGTTACTTCTGCCAAATTCCATATTATTTGACACTTTGAAAACTAAATTGTAATTTGAGAAATTAATGTACGAATTAATTGATGATGGCAACAATAGTTGGTTGCACCTCTAAGTATTCTTATTATTAATTCATATTACAAGTTTTTGATACTTATTATAACTGCAAATTCACTACAATATCAATGTATTTGACACATCTGTTTTATGAACGTGCCTCTGAAAAGTAGAAGCCAAGTACCTTTAAACTAGAATAGTTTCATTACTGAAAAATTTTTTGTATTTTACTAACATCCGTGTATTTTATGAATAAATATTCAAAAAAAATGAAACTGAGGTGTCCGGGGTACCTGAAGGCGACATAGCTTCTCTTTCCTCTTAACCAGACAACCAATCACACTGCATTACCCCTCTAATGCCCCGCCCCCAGTTCTGCCCCCTGCGACATAAAGAGGCGGTGCATGAGCAATGAGGTAATCCGGGTAAACAGTAAAGATGGCGACGTTTGGAGCCAAAGAGGGGCCAACAAGTCTAAATGGGATTAATTTCGACCCTCAAACCAAAAAACTGACTGACTTGCCGACAGAGTTGCTCGAACACATCTTGTGCTTCCCTGTTCTCAAACATGTCGACATTTGCAATGTTTCCTGCTGCTGCAAATGGCTTCACGACGTCTGCCATGGAAGGGGAAAGGTTTGGGGACACCAATACAAACTCAGGTGCTATGAATTTATTGTGATATCTGTTCGGAGTTTTTGTCTGTCTGTGATTTTTTTCCCTATTATCTGCCGAAATGAGGCGCTCTATCCCGTTTTATTTTCCTTACCCTAAATTGCTTGTTGTTTATTTTAAGGTAGCTTCATTTACTGCGAACTCAGAGGCAACTGTCAGCCGCTGACATTCTACTGATGCGACAAATTCATCATCACGCTAGGCCAGTAACAGGCCTCTGTCCTACAGACGGCCATTAAGCTTGTACAATCTTAAATGTTGTTATAGTACATCGTATACTTCATTTTATCCAGAAAACGAATGTGTGTGACCTTCAATTTTACATTAGCCTCTACCAGTCGCCTGTGAATTACAGTAGAGCGCAGTTCTTGCCAAAAGATAAGGCCTCCTGCTGCCTGACTTGGCTGTTACTCCCCTGATTCCTTTTCTCAGTGCAAAAAAAGAAAAACCATGACTGCAGCAGGATGATGAATTATTTCTTGGACATGTCATGTGCTGCTTGAGGCAATAGCTTCCAAAACTAATTCAGAGTATGCCCAGATCTGTTGCTGAAATAACAATGTTACTGCCTTCATCAACAGATGGCCAAGACTCCAGAGGTTTTACCGTCAGAATGAGTGTTGTGACTGGCTCAAAGAATACAAAATGCGCCACAGAGTTGGTATTCAAATACGAAGGACTGTGGAGTCGATCTCAAAGAGATTCTTCACAGAAGTCGTAAGTAATTCATTTGTAATGAAGAATACATTTATTTTTACTTTGTTGCATTATATATGGTTAAATACATTAAATAGATGTGACAGAATGTCAAAATTATTTGGCTCAGTAAAGGTTTCAATTCTTCCTTCACAGATGCACAATTTTGAAAAAAGTAAAATCCTTGTCTGTCTCTGTGAATTTTCTGTGTGGTCTAAGTTAGGGTGCATGTCTGAGCAAGAAAAAGAATAGCTTTGTATGTTCCTAACTAACCCAGAGATCTGTAACTCAGCCTTGCGTTGGCCAGGTGCTGGGAGACAGCTTTGCAGAGATCGAGTCACTCGGGATGCCAGAGCACTTCTGTGAAGACGAGCTCCTCTTCATACTCAACTCTGACGAGAGGTGAGAGCCATGCTGTGTCCACAGTTACACATCAGTACTTGCTGTACGCTGCATTTTGCCAGCATTAATGGGTTTGGATCTTGAACATGTTAATCCTCTCTGAAATTTCTGTGATTATGAAAGCTCTTTGGTTACACACTCTCATCTTTGCACCACGAATGTCTCTTCTGTTGGCCCATCATTAGGAAAAGCTTGACCTTGAAGTACTATGCAAAGAAAATCCTTTACTTCCTGAGACAACAGAACATCCTGAAGCATTTGAAGACCTTTCTGGAGCAGCCTGCAGAGCAGCAGTCTGCTCTGGAAGGTGAGGCATCTGTACAGACTTCATGTCAACCAGCCTCATGATTCACTGTGCCCTGTTACCATACAATTATAGTATCTTTGTTGTTGTTTTGCCATTTAATTTAAAGTTTTTCTTTGTGCCCTACCTTATGCATTTCATCTCCTGGTCTTGTTTGCCACTCTAGGTGCCGTACTGGTGGATCAGTATTGTAACCCACTGGCAGATGTCACACTGGACAGCATATCAGCTCAGCTGGATGAGATGGCAGAAAAAGTAAAGAAGATGCTGAGAATCAAGAACCCATCTCACCCAAGCCTGCGTATTGCCCAAGGTGGACTTTCAAGTGTTGAAACACTTGGACTGGAAAGTTGTCTGTTTGGGACAGAAAGTTTTTGTTTGTTTTTGGGCTCATTGCCTTTCCCACATTTATTTGCTCCAAAATACACTAAAGCTAGCACCAGCGCATTTGGGGAAAAAAGGCAGTACCATTAAATGTATTTGTGGAAAGATGTCAGCTGCACAAAAATTCTTATCAAGTTTCATTTCTTATGTGTTATGTAGGTGACCATTTTGTCATAGAGGACTTTGAGCTCCAGAGACAAGTGGTGTGTGCTTTAAACTCTGTCTTATATGAGCAGCTTCAGTACAAAGGCAACGAATTTGACTACTATAATCCCTTCAACTCCTACATCCACCAGGTAGATTTACTGTAAAATTACGAGTATGTTACGACAGCGTTTTCTGTTATTATTTCACTTAACTGACCAGGCCTCCTTTTTCATTTAGGTGCTACTATGCCGTACAGGCATTCCCATAAGCCTCTCTGTTCTCTACATGACATTGGCCCACAAGCTGGGTGTCCAACTGGAACCTGTCAACTTTCCCAATCACTTCCTGCTGCGCTGGTGCCAAAAACCAAGAGGGTATGGTTGATACAAGTTCATAATGAGAATCTAGACCAGCTGATACAGTTTCTCTTTTAAATGCATTTTCATAACAGGTTTATTCAATTTTGTTTTTGCAGGAGTGAAGACATCTATGACTTCGTTTACATCGATGCCTTTGGTAAAGGCAAGCAGCTGACAGCCAAGGAGTGCGAGTACCTCATTGGCCACCAGGTGACGGCAGATTACTACAGTGCCATCAGTACTACAGAGGTGCTGCTCCGGATGGTGGGAAACCTGCTTAACATTGGCAAGAGAGGGTAAGAGAAACACCTAACTGTCTGGATCTCTTCCACTGGAAAGATAGATGAAGGCTGCTGGAGGATTGGTGTAGGCTGATGATGAATGTTGCTTGTTATTTCTGTTATGGGCACTGGTTAACATAGAACCACTTAGGGATTTTTTTTTTACTCATAAGATCCAGATTTCTCCTACAGTAATACAATTTTAATTCAGCTTTTATCCTGTCATCTACCAAGACTAGTGAGAATATCTCAGATTGTCTCCTAACTGAATAAATGATTAGAATATATTTAATGCCTACTACAATTAAATAAATAAATGAATGCAATCTTCTGGTTGAATTAAATGACCTGCACTGTGTGGTTTCTTTCAGGGAGGGCAATGAAAAATCCTATCAGCTGTTGAGAGACTCATTGGACCTCTACCTCACTATCAGTCCAGATAATGTGCAGTACCTGCTGCTGCAGGCACGCCTCTACTTCCACCTGGGCATCTGGCCAGAAAAGGTCAGGACCCACAACCTGTTGTTGAATATTTTCTTTGCCCTACACAGACATTAACATTACTTATACTTGTTTTATATGCACACAGGAGGCTGATCAATCTGTTTTTCAAACACTGTCACTACTACTATAGGGAACATTGGCTAAGCAGCTCATTGACTCATAGCCAAGTGTCTGTTTTAGCAAAAACCTAAATTAGGTTATTTACAATTGGTTATTCCATTCATTTTCTTTGCTTTCAAGGTTAGATCACTAGGTTACCCTAATTGAATAATTGGATCACAGGTTGTTATTGTTATATAAAACTGGGAGGTGCTGACAAAGTGCTGTACTAAGTGTCAATGAATGACTTGACTTATTGGTAGCCTCCTTACTGGTTTTCTATCATTCTTTGCTTCATGAACACGGGAGTTAAATTTGTTTGTTGTTGTATTAATTAGGTGACCACTCAGAAACCCTGTATTAAGAACAAATCTGATTTTGGGCAAGCATTTGTAACAGTGTTAAACAGAAACTCTGCTGGTGTTGTGTCTTGCCCCATTGATGTATTTAATGTTGGGTTTTTTAATTCTCTTGTTGACTTCAATTCAGAAACTGTTAAATACCAGTTAGCAAAAAGCACCAACTATTCTGCGTTTGCACATTAGTTTAATCTGTAACTGGTTGTGTTGTTGCATAGGCCAACTGCATTCAGCACTCATACATTTCACCGACCTACATGTTCCCTTGCTGTTTGTCCTCTGTCTCAGGTGCTAGACATTCTGCAGCACATCCAGGCATTGGATCCCTCCCAACACGGGGCAGTGGGTTACCTGGTGCAGCACACGTTGGAGCACATCCAGCACAAGAAACATCCTGTGACACCTGAGGTGAAGAGGCGTAGTGCTTCAGAACACCTGGAGGTCAAGTATTCAGTCGGCCTCATCATGAAGCACAAGAGGTGGGTCACATTAAAGGCCATGACACACCAAGCTGATGGTGGGCTGTCGGTAAGCGTCTGTCGGGGCTGATCTTCCCCGTATGTCCTGCACCAGTCAGACCCTGTTGGTGGCTTTTCAGCCGATTCAGCATGTTGAATTGGTATCAGGCTGGTTGGGCCTCGTCAGTGAGAGAGACCACTCTGACTGGCTGCAAATCAATACATGAGAAGACAACGGTTTGGGAAAGCATCTTCAGCTTGTTGCTGTATTATAAATAATTTCACACACTTAGTGCAGTTCTTTTTTTCCTCTGCGGCATCCTTTCTTCTTCCACAACCAAAAGACCAAGGGCAGAGAACTGCTGTGCCATTTGCAACTTCTTATCAAACACATCCTCGCTTAGAAGCAGCTATAAACAGCAGCTGTGTTGAATGACAGCTGCTTTGTTTACACTTGTATTTCCACAGTCTAGCTCTTCTTCTTTCCCTTTCTGAGATACTGCAGGTTCTGCTGATAGGGGGAGTTATTCTGTCACACAGGTGCAGAATGTACATCCTACTGGGCTGTAGTCTGTGCAGGGTGTTCAGGTGCCACTTTTTCAACCCGAGTGGCCCAGACAAATCCCACATGAGGTGATGCAACAGTCAGCCTTTGTCTCTCTGCTAGTTGTTTCACGTCAGCTTGGTGTGTTTCTGCCCGAAGGTTTAGTGCAGTGGTGCCACAGCATGAAAACTGCTAAAATCTTCTCTGCTTAGATGTCCCTCTTTTTGTATCACTCAAGCATGTCTGCGCTGTTCCACCACCTCCACTAGGTCGGGTTATAACTGTGTGATCTATGGCTGGGATCCCAAATGTACTATGAGTCAGGAGTGGATCACCACCATGAGGGTCCACCAGTTGTCCAATGGTGCCAAGCAACCTTTCTACAATGTCCTTGTACAGGATGGAACATGCCGCTATGCAGCACAGGGTATGGATCATTTACACCAGCATAGTGGTGGAAAATATCCTTATGGTGAATGAATGTTTGCAGGTTCTGTAATGACTTAAAAAAACAAGTCATCATAAAAATGTGTATGTTTGATAAAGAATGTATCATCAACTAGTAACTAGTCAAGGTAAATAGCCAGTTACAGAAATATAAATCATGATGTCATCCAAGTTTACAATTATGCTTGTTTATAGTTGGGTAAGAAGGCATTTCTGAGGATGCCGGGGGGGATTCAAATATAATTTAGGCTATCAGTGCAGCAGCACAATGGTGTAAATATGAGCACATAGCAAGTTCACATTAGTTACTAAACCAAGTGAAGGTAATTTTCTGGTTGATAAGACAAGAGGAAGTCCTAAGCACAAGCACTGGAAAACTTGAAGTTCTCATACAAGTACAGTGACAAACTATTACATGGGCAAATAAAGTTAATCTCTTCTAACTTTCAGGTTCACCCTTCTGGAATTTTGAAGCATATGCTCTTAAAACTAACATAACATCATAATGCTTAATAATGTCATAAAGGTAGCGTTATGTGAAGTTCATACTGTATCTGTTGATCCAGAAGTATTTCCTATTGATGCATTGGTAAGATTTAGTCATAATTGGTAGAAATGAACCAATGCCTGCAAGTTGAGGCAAACACTTCAGTGGTGCTGCATCACTTGTTTTTTGAGACATAAAATCTCTCCACTTAATCTCCTCCCTCATATTCACATTCCCCGTGGTAACCACTCACTCTGCTGCTCAGTCCTCTGCTGCTGCTACTGCACGTCTTTCGTTGTTTGTAGGTGTTAATTTGCTCTCTCCACGACCTTAACGTTCACCTACAATCTCCGTTCTCTACAAACCCTGGGGGGGATTTTTCACTGATCAGTCCCTGCTGCTCAGTCTGCTTTGCAGGGCCTGATCTGACATCAAGCCGCGATGCCAAAATAAATTAGAGCTGACATTTTCTGGAGGAGCTAATTATGTTGATAAGTGACTTGTGGTATATTAATACTGCCTGCCACTATTGTGTAAATTTCCTCTTTCTCCACCCCAATTTAACTTGTCAGTATAATTTAATTCACTTTATTATCTCTTATCAGAATGTCACATTTTTCTATTGTTCTTCAGAAAACTTGGAGCCCCACTCAGGCCCCCTGGAGATTGGCCACCCAGAGGTGGGTCGCTACTTCACTGAGTTTGCCGACACCCACTATGTTGCCAACGAAGAGCTGCAGACACGATATCCAGAGGACATGAATGAGACGCTGGGCACAGTGCAGGAGCTCTATAACAGACTGACACCTGGCTCTGGGAGCCAAGAGCAGGCTTCTGCTACAGACCAAACCGATCACCAAGCCACGCCCGTGTAGCAAAGTAGCCTGACACCCTGCTTGTGACCCGGGCCAACTGATTACTGGTCACCCATTCTCAATTCACAGTCCACTTAGCTGTCGACATATTCCAGACCAGTAACAGAAGTTTGGTCAAAAAAACTATCTGAATACAGTATTTTCATAAATGTGTAACAAGAAATGATTCATAAATGTGATTTTGTACCACAGTCGGGATCCTGTGCAAAGATCATTAATGTTGCTGCTTTGATACTCACATTCAAATACCACGGTGTATTTGTTGTGAAAACAAAGCTCAAAGCGTGGAGCGATTATTTATTTATTTATTTATTTATTTGTTTAACTAGAGAAAAGTCACATTGACAATCTCTCTTCCAAAACATGGCCTAGTTGACCCCGTGCTGCATCGCTCGAAACCCAAAGACACTGTAGTCTTCAGATGCAGTTACAACAAAATAGAGTTTGGGGGAAAAGTAGACATAAGCAGACACCTTAGGGGAAAAAGAGGCTATAGACTTGAATAAACTGTTAAGTGGATGAGTAAATTCAGGATGGGTATCCAGATACTGTAAATCTACCTTTACTAAAAACTAAGGAATGCCCCTTTACCCAGAGCTCACTAACCCCTGTCCAACACCTCCCTGCATCCAATAACAAGCCCCCAGCATATATCCCATCTCCCTTGTTACAGTGCCACAGAAAAGACTACAAAGAAAATACTTTGTAAATTGACTCTTACTTTTAAATCTCCATCTTTTAAGTTTCATGCACTTATGAAAGTATAACTTTCACATTTCTAGATTTTTTTTCTGTATATTTACAAGTAAACCATGTAGGATGTCATAGCTCAGTGTTGCTGAGCTGTTAAAAGTGGAACCAGTAATGACACTGCTGACTGAAAACAAATGAGGTTAAGCTTTGATGAACAAAATAATAAAGCATTTCAAGCTTTACTAGCTTTTCTGATTTATTTAGCTGAACTAAAATGCTAATATTGGTTGCTTTATTGTTGAAATGTACTATATAACCACGATTTCCTGCAGAGTACTTAAGCAGGAAGGCGTATCCATCAGTGGCATGGATTTAGGACCCTGGAGACGCCAGGTGTTTGTAGGATCCAGCAGCAGACTACAGTTGCAAGGATCGCTCGATGGCAGCGGGATAAAGCTGCAGGACAGAAATGTTGAGCCGGTCAAACCAGATTATGCGTCTTGACGCGCTGGTGCAACAGCAACATGGGAGCCTCGCAGACGCATTCCGCGTATAAGTACCAGGACCTGATGACAAAAACAGGATGTAAGTAGAGAAAACAATTGCTAGGAACATTTAAATTCGAAGCAATAACACTTTTGTTTCAGTGTGCGTATGTTAAGTCGTTCGGGTTCAAGGTGCGAGGGTCTGGTGACAAATTCGGGGCGTGAAGGAAATAAAGGCGACAAATGGAAACCTGAGCATCGTACCAACCTGTGGTCCAAACTTTTTTACAAGTAGGCTATTAACATTTGCACAGGCGAGTTAAGTCGAATGCTGCTGAGACCAGTAAACACCAGTGCGTTATGCCAAACACCACCAGCTGAACAAATAAGCGCAGTGCATTAGTTTCGCAACAGTTTTTATGAATACACAAAATACACAACACAGTCTTTGAGTTAATAGATTTAGTCTTATACAATTTATTTGTATCGATACTTCGCAGACAGTCGCTTACTTAGTCGGATTCATTGCTGCTGTAAGCCACATCTGAAGTTGTAAATTCTGTTATGAGGAAAAGTTCAATAAAGAAAAAATAAACGCAGACAGAATCAACAGGAGTGTGTAGATCTATTCTTAGTAAGGGCAGGATCTTCTTGTGAAACCTTTGCATGCAGTGACATGCAGAGTTTGAGTAGTAGATCAAACAATCTAGACCTAATTGTAGTTAACTCCGTGTTAGATTTGCATGTGTTGATCCTGTATATGTAATAGTCATACCACGCACCCACTGTGACCTACAAACGTGTTTCTACACGAGGCTGTAATGTGTCTAGGTGTACTTTCTTCACCCTGCACTCAGTAGCAGCTACTACTGCAGACCATCCTTTATAGCAGCCTCTGAGAAATGTGGAAAACATCCTTTATAGCAGCCTCTGAGAAATGCGGACCAAAATAAATAGTTAACCAACCAGTTGAAAATGCCAAACCCTCCTTGACATGGAACAAGGCCGAGCCAGATTATGTTTGAACTCTTCCATGTGTGGCCAGGAGTCCACAAGTTAATGATTCAAGGACCCATTTGAAATGGCATACAAAGATACAGTAGTCCTTCTGGTGCAGGGTGTGTTTGCATTGCCATTAGTCTAGAGTTACATTTGATCAGTTTCTCTGTGTAATAATAATCTAGTAGCCTATTGTGCAATTAAAAAATGTGAAAATGGTTAATTGTACCCTTTAGTAAGAATTCTTCTATAATTATTATGGATGTTTAATTCCACATCCCTAATAAACAGTGTAGAACAGGATGCCTGTTGATAGCTGTAGAATAATGAGTGTATCACTGACATTCATGTTTTTGTTTTTCAGTTTCACTGGAGCAGATCAAAAACCTCCACTATAGATTCCGGCAGCTGAGTGAAAATAATGAGACATTAAGGTAAAATGTTAAAAATAAAAATAAATGAAAAACATTTGGTATGTAGCAAAGCCGTGCCTGTCGGCTGCCAATGATTTGTGGCCTTAGCAGCCTTCACTGAAGATGAAATGCTAAAGCAACCTATTGTGACACATGCAGGCTGAACTAATGCAAGTGCAGACACAATATGTTGATGCATCAGGCACACAGTGCCAACACTGTACACACACTGCCAAACTGGCCTGCTGGCAGGGATGTACTATACGTTCTTCCTTTTTAAAAAGAAATGGGGAACAAATGTTGTTTGCAGCAGATAGTTTACCTTAACAGAAAGATGTGATCCACATTACTTCTCATAAATAATGTTCCCTATTTAAAAAATTGTTTTATAAAAAACACACTATACTGTCGTGGCTTTTTAATGATCATTACCTTTCTCTTGTTGCACTGCAGTAGAGAAAACCTGGAGAACATAAAAGACCTCGCCGACAATCCAATCAAAAAGCAAATTGTTGAAGCCTTCTTTGATAAAAGGTGGGTACAAGTAACACCACATCTGGAGAGGAAATGATAATTTGGGGCATATTTCAAGTGAATTTCTTGTTTCTAGTTTTCAAAATTTACCATATAATGGTAGGGGAAGTACTGGCAAAAGCAAAGCAAAACAGGGAAAGGCCTCGATAGTTGTATCTATAGTGTGTGGTAAAAATGTTGTCCGACCGTCACCTGAAAAATGTGCCCGAGTAAGTGGAACCATCAGCATGCAGTTATGTTTGCATGGTGGGAACTAATTGTGGTGACGTTACAGGGCTCTATTCTGTGAGCATTTCACTTGTATAGTTATGTGAATGTGTAAATGTATTAGGGTGCCGTGGTGTGCAACTGATCCTTGGGTTCTCAGTTTGTCAGGACTAGGAGCATTTCATCAGTACTCAGAGACCAGTGAGTAAGATATAGTATACATACAGAGCAGATATGAGGGCCCGGAGGAGAGGGGGGGCCCAGGTGAGGTGAAAGTTTACTCAGGTTAAGCCCACCTATGCTTTTTTTACTCTGTGCAGTAAAACTTACTACTACCTTCAGAATGCTACCTTTAAACCTATTAAAAAGCCACACTGGTTAAATTTTTGTTCATGATACCTAAGGGTTTATTTATTTGTTTGTTACTAGGAACCAGCATCAGAATGAGATGGGCTCCTTCGAGGAGATTGGCTTCGAGCAGTTCGTCATGGTCATGTCCCACTTCCGCCCTCCAACTCCAAAGATGACAGAGGAGGAGAAGCTAGCTATGAGAAAAGACAAGCTTCACTGTAAGTAACTTTATCCCAGTTCTACATGTGCACGTGTCTAGGATGTTTTTCAGTGTCCCACTACCCACCCTACATAACAAATTGGTGGTGTGACTAGCTTGGAAAGTGGACCAGAACTGCAGTTTCACAACACCAACTGTGTCAAGTACAAAGGGATCATTTGTAGCCACAGAGTAAGGGCCAGAAATTCAGGCCCAGCTCTTGTTATACCCTTAGTTTATTAACAGTTTGCTATGCTGAGGTATTTCAGGATGATGTGTTGTGATTTTTGGCATTTCTTCTTCCCCTCAAACTGCTTGTGTGATTTGTAGCTTCTTACATTTCCCACCATTAGTTTTTTACAAACTCCGGGTAAAGAGTGTGAATTATTACACAGTCAAAAGTTCACCACTACCAATTGGGTTAGCTACTGCCCCAGTGCCTGATACCAGTTACCTCTGCCTACTCCCAAGCCTTGAAATCTAACATCTGACAGTTAAATTCTATCAATTGTTCAGAAGTGACATTGGCAACACAGTCAAAATGTTGTTGGCCATCTTTTCAACACAGTCAAAATGTTGTTGGCCATCACCTAAGGAAGCAAATGGATATTTTTCCCAGTTACTGCCACAAAACTGCTCAACATAAAATACTGTCATGGGACCAAGTCTCACAGGCATCACTGTAAATGAGAGTAATGACAGTTAAATGTTGCCTCAGTGTGGTTTGGTACATTGTTGGTTCTGATGTGGCTTGAAGGGGACCTGGTCCGATAACATCTGCATCTCCATAAACATTCCTCTAATCACAACTTCCTGAGATTCAATGATGAAAATTTCCTCGGGATTCTGACTAATTACCAAACTTTTGTTCTTTCTTTCCAGTTCTGTTCAACATGCATGACTCAGACAACGATGGCAAAATCACTTTGGAGGAGTACCGGAAGGTAAGACCTAAATCTTGCCTTTGTCTCATACATATACATGCAATTACATGTCTTAATACTTTTGACATTGCATGTCTACAAACAAATTACTTAATTATGTTCAGTTTTTATATTGGAGTTTGGGGCATTCATTCATTTAGCAATTTAAAACTGCACAATATTTATTAGTCAGTATTACAAAGTTTCAGTAGTAACAACTGTCCCATCCTCTGCTTTCAGACTTGCCTGAGTTTATACTTATCCTTGAAATCAGCACTTTCAACTGCATCTTTGGGTTTTCTCAGCAGTTCTGGAAAAGCTTTTCAACCAAATTATACCCACCTTCATTCTGAAGTTGTACTTCAGGCTAATGCATCAACTAGCCAGACCTGGCCATGTATTCCAGCTAACTAAAGTGCTAGTAAAGAATATTGTAAGCATTTTGATGAAAACAGGTTAAAGCAAGCTTTAAAATGTAGTTTATCATCGTTTGGAAGTGTCAGCATGTAAAGTTGACTCGTGTGACTTGAAGATTGATGATGTTTAAACCCCAGTGAGGATTTAAACACTGGTGTTCTCATCCAAGGTGGTAGAGGAGCTTCTGTCAATGAGTGGAGACATCGAGAAGGACACTGCCAGAGGGATAGCAGATGCTGCCATGTTGGAAGTGGCCAGCACAAATGTGCCCAACATGGTAATGAACTAAACTCTTAATAAATTCTCAGTCACATATGTGCAGCAAAGTAACCCAATAATTTGTCTGTGATTTCAGGGCCCAGATGATTACTATGAAGGAATTACATTTGAACATTTTGAACAGGTTTGCACTTTTATTACTTCACATATCAAACAATTAGACACTTTCTTATTACTTACTTATAACAGCATTTATGTGCCTACAGATGTTTAAAGAGGTTGAAATGGAGTCCAGGATGCACGTTCGCTTTTTGGATGTAGACACCAGAACAATACACTGTGGGAGTTCGACCTCTTAAAGGAGTTGTTGTTCAAAAGTGTTTGTTTTGCTGTTTTTTCTTTTTTTCTTAGCAGGACTCTTTAATGTATTTTGGATGAGTGTGAAATAATTACTTATTAGACAAACATTCAATTGTCTGATCTTGCAGATAATGTACATACAAAAGAAACACTCATTGGCCACTTCATCAGATACACCTGGATGCACTTCAAAACGTTTTGGTTTAACTGTCAAATCTGTAAATTCAATTCTATGTTTATTATTGAGCTCATAGTTAAAGGTGGTGTTGTACTGGGCTACATTGTATCCAGAGGCATTCCTAATATTCTGACCCTCTCATACAGCACTGCATGCAGCTGGTGAGGACAGAAATAGACACCTCTGTAATATAGGTCAGTACACCACCACCTTTAACTATGACCTCAGTAATAAACATACAACTGAATTTAGGATATTTTGAGCTTCATAAACACAGATGTCAAAGCGAAGGTGTTGCCCTGAATTGCACACAGTTGTACCAAAAAAAGCAACACTCATTGGCCACTTTATTAAGTATATATTATCTGAAACTGTTGCACAAGATCACAGCCTTGTAGACAATTATTGTACTTTTTTTTTTTATCTGTTTGGCTAATAAGTCTAATTATTTCACTCTGATCCAAAATACATTAAAGAGTCCTGCTAATGGCCGGTGAAGCGCATTGCATTCACCAAAGAAAATTGGAGGATCTTATCTCCTAATTATGACTGACTCCATAATTATGACTTAAACTTACGTTCTGCAGCGTTCCAACCCCTGCATTATCTTATGAGACAAATTTCATAATCATGGGATCCTAATCTAGCAATTATGAATTATTATAAAAGATCTCAATTCTGAGATCCATCTCTCTTCTACACAATCTTTTTCTCTTGCCTGAAAATCATCAGGTTTTAACAAACTCTTTAGTATCAAAGTAATTCAGTGATAGTTGTCAGTACATAACAGTGAACTGCTAATAGCTAATTCGCCCAATGGGAATCGAGGTTGCTGTCTACAGTGTGACTCACTATGTATGTGTACTGAGCAGGAGCTGGAAAGCTTCAGAACCTGCTTGGGTTTTTAACGTAGCGAAATAGCCAATTCAGCATAATTAGTGGTCCAATGTGTAAATTAAGTCCTAGGCTATAGTGGTTATTATTAAAGAAGACAGAGGCATTATGTTAGGCTATCTATACAATGAATATGAGCTTAAATATCAATAAAAAAAAAAATCATTAAAAGTTCTATTGTGAACAGATCATACTTTTACAAGAAAGGGCAAGTATAATGTTCCCATGGGTGAGAGTTACTGTGGGCTGCAGCTTGGGCCGTTTTTAACCTATATTTATTTATGTTTTGGAACATGAAGTACGGCAAATTAGGTATTCACAGTTGACTTCTGCTCTGCACTATTGGATGTACTGGCAACTATCACTGAATTACTTTGACGCTAAAAACCTGATTTTCAGGCAGGTTTTGCAGTGATCCAACCCCGGCATTATCTCATAATTACATGACAAGAATCTTCCATTGTTTCTTTGGTGAATGCAGAGTGCTTCTTTAGACTAGGAAACTGATAAAATGAAACTAATTAATAAAAGGATACAGTTTGGAGAATCAAACAGAAAGGTGAACGTTCCTACTGTCCGTTCAGTCTTGCACCGAGCCCTGGGGCAGTGTGGGGAAGCTGCAGGCAGACAGCCTGTCATAAGGCACCGCCAGGCCGATGTTGTAGTTGTAGCCATAAGTCTCTGTGTAGTCAGACCTGCAGATGGGCAGGATGTGATCCTGCGATAGCGTGTCCTCAGAGAAGTCGTAATGGCAGATGACTCCTCTGTGTCTGAAAGATGAAAAACATTTGTCAGCAACAAGCCTAACATTTTATTTCACTTTTTGGTAAATTGATATGAAGCAGAGAAATTTAAACCAATGGCACCTGTTGAAACACATAATGCATCTTCATCTGACAAAAGGGGAGGAGTTGTTTAAAAACAGACTTGATACAATTAGTTCTTCTCTTCAGTCTACAAAGCAGCATGTGACCTTTTAAATGCACATGGAACAGGAAGCAGCAGTCTGTCAAGGAAATATGGGCCCAAGGTAAGAAGATCGATTCTACTCCAAATCTGAAACTACAGCTCCTTAGCTTAGCTGAAGACTGGAAACAGGGAGACATAGCTCTGAAGGTAACAAAATCCACTCGCCAACACCTGTAAAGTTCACTAATAGACTGAAGCATAAAAGGTTTGTTGTTGAAACAAATGAAATATAACTTATTGGTGAACATGCAATGTGCTGGTAGGTGACTTATTACCTCTGAACAGAGGCAGGTTAGTTGTTTCTGGGCTTTATGCTGAGGTAACAGACTGCAAGTTGTAGCTACACAATTACAGCTCAAAAATCAGTGATAGTCTTCTCTCCAGAAGAAAGCCTGATTCCTTTAAGGTTGAATTTGCTTTTACAAATTGTGAGAGATGAGAGGCAGATGTAGAGAAAAGAATCCAGGTTAGAATCAAACTTGGAGGAGTGTGGGAGGGGGATCACTGACCTGCGGTGAGCTGTAAGGTCATCGTCTGTGATGCACGCCCCCCGCGGTGACTTGTCATCAGGGATGTTGGCTGTTACCAGGGTGCTGGTGTTGAAGCGTACGTGCCTGACAGGGTGCCTGCAAGACGGATAAAAACACCTTCAGAATAAAATAAACCACACTGTTTCTTATAAATCCTTCACTGGTGCATGGTAGTCTTTGTTCAAATGTTTCTGGAAGCCACATGTACAGTATGTCTGCACAAAATCTACCAATGATCTATAAGAGACACAAATTCCTATTTAACAAAAAGCTGCATGAACTCAAATTTTTCATTTATGTCCGTTTGGTACTAAACTGGCTCCAAAATGAGGCCACGTGCAAGTTTAATTTGTTACAACCAATTAAAAGGACATGTCTGTGTTGCCAGGTCTCCCTTCAGAGATCTTGATCTCAATGGGACGTCCTGGTAAAATAAAGGTTAAATGAAATAAACATCCTATCAATCACTTGAGACTTGCAATAAGCTGTAGGACACGGAGACATTGAAATGACTTGTCTACGCTAATTTCAAAGTGATGTCTAATGTATCTTAAGTGTTTAATTCAAGAGGAAAGAAAATCCCACCTGTTGTGCATCTCCCACAGCTTAGCTCCCATCCTCGTCTCCCACACGCACACCAACCCCTCGCCTCCACCGCTGACGAGCTTCCAGTCATCTGTCTGCACCGAGGTGACGCCCAGGTGGTGGGCGTACAAGGACGCCACGGAGGAGCCGGCTCGGAGGTCAAAGACCCTCACCCTGAGTCACAGCAAAAGACAACACGTGCTATGATTAGTTTAATGAGATCTTGGTCGGTCAGCTGAGACACATGATGCATTATACATAGGTTCATTTTATATTAGCATAAACTCTTCAGAATTTACCTGACAAGTGATTTAGAATGAGTGCAAAGGAAGAATAATAAGAGCAGTGAGTACTACAGCATTGATCATTTGCAGCGAAGTGTGGCGATTTTGGATTCCACTTCCTGCTAAAAGAGGCAGGCCTCAAACCGAGATTGCACAAGAAAAAGTACATGGGTCAGAGTGCATTCATTCACAGACAGCAGGACAGTATTCTCACTAGAAGGAATCACTGTCTCAATGGCCAAGAGACCAATACAAGATCAATACAAGCTGAAGCAGATGAGTTAAGCTTCAGCCTTACTTCCCTGGCCTTTACCAAAGCAGTGGACTACATCATTTCAAAACATACAAAACATCTTACTGGACATGAGACCAAAAAAAAAACAAAAACTAAACAAAAGAACCTGTAATATGAAAAAGATAAAATAAGCATGACACAATGACAGAAACCCAAAACTAACAGATCAAGGCTTGAAAAATCTATTTTGATTCTCAAATAGAGAAAAGGCAGAAAAGGAAAAGAAATTAGAGCGAATCAAGTACAGAGATAAAGCAGCCTGAAAACTGAATAAAAATGAACAAAAACGATTTTCAGTATAGTAAAAAATATTAATTCAAAAGTATAGGATGTGTCTGACATCCCAATAAATACTGAACTCATCTATCCATTTCACTGCAAAGCGGTAGATACATACAGAACATGGTCACCGCTGCTTGTTTACGTTAACACAAATCCACGAGGAGAGAAACAGGGCGTGCTCATTATTAACATAGTAAATAAACTGTTAACCAAATGATTCAATCCACTGTCAACATGAAAATGACTAATAGTCCTACGTCATACACTTCTCACATCTCTTCACAATGTTAAGACAAAAACTGAACTGATTTATTTTTCTGACCACGTTTAAATATATTGAGTTTCTTCTTTAGCATCAGTTTTAAATGTAGCTTTAGCTTTGTGCACTTTTGACTTCACCTGACTCTTCGCTTTGTTTTGTCTGAATCATTTGTTTTAATGTAACTTTTAATTGATTCTGTATTGAATACATTGATTACTTTTTACTCATGTTTATCTTTATAACTATTAGAATTAGATTTTTTATCATTAATATGCTAATATTTGTATTAGTAGACTGTTTTTCATCTAAGAATGGGATTTTTAATTGCTGGGTTTCATGAGCAATGGAAGCCCAGGGGACCTTCAGCTACATCTGCTGCCATTGTGGCTTTATTGCAGCTGAAAGCAACCATGACTCCATCCAGGATCAACCTTCTTCCAAGACTTCATTATCATAATCAAATTCACTTTGGGGACTCGGACAGGTTTCATTTCCGCTCCCAAAACTTTTAAAAAGAATCAGAGTTAAATGGCTAAATGGGCACCGCGGATTTGTTGTCTGCAGTTAGTTCTGCCTGTTTAGTGGCATTACGTGATGGGAACACACGTTTTAACAATGAGGACCGAGTATTACTGGCAGACCACAGGGAACCATAAATCTAATGTTGGAGGCGACTTTGTCCTCGGTGAGCTGTCAGTGGCCAGACTGCTCTTCATTAATCAGGAGGAGCTCTGCCTAATAAGAGAAGTGTGGGAGAGGCTCAGAAAACCCTCCTTTTCCTACAGCGAGACAAGGCATTAATCATTATACACTGCTTATGTTTGATGCAAAACACAAAGTACAGCTGAACCCGATAGTAATGACATTAGCTTTACAGGTAATTCTTCATAAAGCAAAGCGTCGAGCGGATTAAAATGCTGACCTGATGATGTAACTACATGAGAAATATTTCAGTCTGGACCAAAGCGTCCAACCAACTGACCAACACTGCCATCGATACAGCCGCTAGCACTGAAGACAAATGTTTTTAATTGGCTTGTAAAGAAAAATAAATAAATAAAATCAAGTACACTCCACAGTGTCTGCAACGTGGGCTCAAGGATGGACTCAAGAGGTGCAGTCCTCCATAGCGATAAGTGACCAACAGCCACAAGTACGGCACTCCCTCTTCCCACTCTCTCTGTGACCAATTTTACTCTTTGCCCACATCGTTCCTGTTTGCACAAATCTGGCCTTCTTCCAGACAGCCCTTATCACGACCCCTCATTTACTCCCTGGATCTCACAAAAAAAAAAAAAAAAAAAAAAAAAAAAAAAAAAAAAACGTGGGGACAAAACTCATTTGGACAAAAAGAAGGGATCCATTAGGCTTTGGCCTTAAGCCATCCTGTCGAAGGGCCAAGTTCACCCACTGTCCCTCAATCTCTCCCCTATTTCCATTTGTCTTCAACTCTGCATGGCATCAGCTGGGGCCAAAGTGGAAGAGCCAAGCTGGTGTGTGCGAACAAAACTACACATCAATCAGAAAACAAGGGCCGACAACTAAAGCGTAACGGAAATGGATAAAGACTACCAGTGCTCTGGTGGAAAAAACCATCTGAATTCTTAATTCTTAATTCAAATTTTGCTCAAAAGAATGCAGAGAATTTTCATTTTGCACTTGACAGAACATCCTCAACAGTTTTGGGGCTTTATATAGTTGCTACGAATTATAACTAGTAAGAAGAGGGAAAACCACAAACAATATGATGTGGTCTGTCTTTCACTTCAAGCCAAATACTTAACAGCCAGATGGATTTAGTGCTGAATAGAAACAGCGGGGGCAGCTTTAGATGAAGATGCGCCAGGGATTTTTCCTTTGCTGCCAGCTCATGCACCACGACACCCGCTAACAAGTGCAAAATAGATGAGAATGGCTCTTTTATGTGCCTTTTCCTCATCTAGAGAGCCAGGTTAGCGATGTGACAACTGTGTGTATATGCATGGATGTGTGCTGTCTATAGTGTTCCAGGTAATGAAGGAGACAAAAAGGAAAAAAAACATTTATCTAACAGAAAAATGGAAACGTCTCACTGCCAAGTATTTCAAGCTTCTGTATTTCTTTTTCACTAACCTTTTGGAAACTTACTTTTTCAAGGCAACAGAGAGACTGGGAAGTGTGAGTAATGGACAAATTGAATCGAGTCTTGTTTTCTCACGTATTTTCTAAACACCTGTTCGTCGCCGAGAGTGCCTTCCAGCCTCCTTTGTCAGCTGCTGCTGTGGATAAACTATTTAACAGGCTTTCCCTTCTTGGCTCAGTTAAAACCACATGTGGTGTTTAAATAAACTGAAGGGAGTGGCTACTGGGAGATTCTGTCCTTATGTGTGACCTTTGTTTATTCTCCATCTGTGTGAAAGTGTCTGAGTGTGTCCTACCTCCGGTCTTTGTTTCCGCACACCAGCAGGTGAGGAGGGCTGTCTTTCAAGTTGATGCAAGTGAAATCTCCCAGCGAGCTACCCACACAAACCACGGGTTTGCCCGTCTCTAGGCTGTAGACGTGGATCTAAAAAGCAAAAAACACAACTCAGTCAACCTCCAAATGCACAACCACCACATGTATAAGCTTGAAGTTTGAGGGTAAGAGCTGAACCCAAGATTGTGACAGTTTACATCAACATTTGTTGGACTGTGTGTAGCCCCCACTTCCCCTAGCACTCACACTCCACAATACAGCAGGACAACTACTACAGAATATATCACAACACACTGAAATGCAACTAATGATGCTGGATATCAGGCAATATTGCAATGATACATCATACAACAGACGAATATCACTAACTGCAGCGATGCCTTGCCAGTTAATTACAAGCATAGCAGCAGTTAAGCCGGGGGGGGTTACCCAAGGGCAAACTTCAGTCACGGTCACACACATGCACACTACTGCCTCTGGTTCAGTGGCTGCAGCAAACTTTCTTCATACAAGTTACAATGATGTCATCTGGAGACGGCCTAATTGGTCAATTAGCGGCTGGTGTGTCTCATCCAAATGAGACAGAACAAACAGGATAACTGCCAGGCAAAAATTTGCTTTGAATAATTAAAATGATAAAGAAATTAAATGAAGGGATGGAGGGAGAGAAAAAGGGATAGCCAGAAGGCAGGAGAGAAAAGGAAAGACAAACAGAGAGAGAGAGACAGTAATAAAGATGAATAAATTTGAAGGAAGGGAAAAAGTGGCATGATGTAAGCCTTGAGGAGGTGCCAGCAGTTTTTGTGTGTCCCTTATTTGGGCCAAGCAGAGCTTTAATTGTGCACCACCCCAGGGCAGAGCCCAAATCACACTGGACTTTGAAATGACAGCTTGATAGGATTTGGACAGCGGAAGAGGGGGGATGTGTTGAGACAGAGGGAGGGTGATACAGAAATGAGGTTCAGCCTGCTGTTCTTAATGAATCATTACAGTTTCGGGAAGATACCTTTTTTATTAAATATCTGCCTAACGCACCCATCGAAAATAAGCAATGTGCCCGAGGGAGGCAAAGGAGCTGGTTTGTGATAACACTGGAGGTTGCAGCAATATGTTTTGTGGAAGAACAATTATGAGCATGACTGTTAGGTTAATGCATTCACTGGAGCTTCAGTGAGGCTTGCAGACAAAGGAAACTAATGGTGGCTTGTACTGGGATGTTAATGTAATTACTCTCTTCGCTTTTAAGAAATGAATCTTTTGGCTTTTTTTTTGGCAGCACTTTTCCTTGATTCACATTTGGCCCAAAAGCAGAATTTGGTTTTTAATTAATCTTAAATGTCATATCATAGACCAGGAATTCAAACCATGTGCCATGGAGGGCCAACTGTCTACAGGATTTCACTCCAGCAGCTGGTTTAACTTATTAATGCTTAGTGAAATTAACTGCTGATATGAATGGTTCCAATGAAAAGCTGCAGAAGGGCCATGACTCCCCATACCAGCCACATCTCAAACAAATACAGATTCAGAGCCACATTTGGTTTAGACACCATACGGACTAACAGAGATTAGCACATTGGACCAGACGCACAACAAAGGCGGGTTTGTGGTGTCATGTCATTTGGTCTTTCCAGCTCATCCCACAGGGCAGAGCAGAGTCTCATTTACAGCAGCCTACTGAGCTTACTGTTATTTATAGTTTGTACCTTCCAAGTCTCAGAAAGCACTTTTATACTTCCAGTTTTTAGTATGTAAAACTACTGTAGTGCTTATAGGTTTGTACGTTTGAGTTCTCTGTGGTAAAGGCACTCAAACTAAAAGCCAGTTCACAAAGAGTAGTTTATGGTTTTTGTGGGTAAATTAATTAAACAAAAACAGCATGAACACATATAGGAAGGAGCCCACAGTGTGCGAATTACATTGTGAAATTTGGTGGGTCTTCCTTCAGTTGCAGGGGGTGGGGGTGAATGCTGCTGTTTACTCAAGCTGACACCAAATCCACATACACATCAGCAAAGAGAACAACACAAGAAAGTAGCTCCGGAGCCACGGTAAATAACGAAAACCCTGCAGATGTCCCACTGATGTTACAGGCATTACTGGCAGCGGGTAACATCAGTCTGACCTCACCGCTGTCACAATTTCCTCCAATGATCAAGTTTCACAAAGACATACCTTTACTACCACCACAGGCATGTACAGTACACTGGGTCTACTTTTCCATTTTATGATGGTTTGATCCCACAGGTGGAGATAAAGTGGGCCATACCTGCGTCTTTAACAGCCTGTGGCCTACCGCAGACCATAATCAGTTTCTGGATCACATTTGGTACAACACCAAACACCAATATATGGTAGACAACGCGTGCGTACACTCACTGCTACAGCCAGAAAAAGAGGTCTCTGATAAACAATGCTTAGTAAAACCCAGAAATTGCCCCATGACCTAATGTGCTGATCCTGACAACATTTCCAGCGGTTGTTAATGTCCATTTACTCACAGTACATTCAACTCACCCTGAGCAAAGCAACAGTGTATTGAAATTGTCAATGCTCTGCTCATTTTTTGCAGTTGTTCCCCAGAAACTCTGTGGTAACTTCAGCAGTAACTCGCTGCTGCCACTGCCACGTGCCGCATCCACCTGTAGGCTTCAGCTCTACATTCACATGGTAGGATGCCGTCATCCCCAGTACTCAGCCTCTGCTGTGCTGACTGTTTTACATATCTGATGCATAATATTCACTTACTTCAGCGGTGCTTGGTTAAAGCCTTTTTGTATCTTACTTATTCTTACTTGTAGTTTCAGGTCTGTTTGGGGTTTTACAGTATAAAAAGTCCTGGTGGACTGATGACTTGATCCTGATTTGTGGCAATGCATTTATCCATCCCACACTTGTCTACCCATACATCTGTAAGCCATTCATTCAGCCTTCTGTGCATCCAACCAGAGCTTTGAACTTGAGCGAACGAGTGGATGACAGGTTTTCCGACAGCACTTGGGCTCTGCGGTAGACCCACTGCAGTGGGTGCACAGTGTGCCAGCTTGTGTTGAATGCCCAGCCGTGAGCTGGGTGGATGCCTGGGTGCCCCCAGTCCACTGGCAAGAAGGCGGCGAGTAGTAATGAGGATCTGGAGACTGGCTTCAACTGCGCACACACATATACACACCCACTGACAACCCCAACAAAGATGGGGAAGGCTAGAAGACAAAGCCACCAGCTACATGATAACACAGCACCGAGACTATGAGAAAGAATTGTCTGTATCATGAACACAAAGCAGCTTTTGTACAAAACTGCAGCAAACTCAAGACATGACATCGTGCTCGAGTTCACCCAAGTCAAAATGTGGAGAAATAAGGTGCGAGCTGACATTCTCGGGTGTCGGCGCCATGCATTTTGACAGATTTTAATGAAGCATATGTTTTCTGCTAAAAGCTCCATGAAAAATGGCTGGCATCACTGACATTGCAGCCAATTCATTCGTTGGCTTCTTCACATTATGAAAATGCTGTTAGAAGTGTGACAAGAGTGACAGACAGGTTAATTAAATCTGTCAAATATTTTAATTACAGGTATGCTAATGATAAACTGGCCTGGGCTAAATTCACCATGCAAACAAGAAAGTTTACTCTCTGTTCTACAAATATAAGAACTGGATCTAAAATGAAAAGTTTAGAAGGAAAGGAATTGCTGCTTTTTATCCTCAACACTGGAAATGTAATGCTAAAATTTTTTATCTTTCTTACGATTTCAGTTGGATTGGGAGTCTACAATGTTGTTTACAAACTCAAGCCATCATTTGACTTTCTGGGGCGACATTAGCAACAAGTTTTCCGAGAAGATGAGGAAAAATTCATTACAGACCGACTGAAATAGGGAATTCAGATTGCGAAATGTCTGCACTTTTGACAGCTCGTCTTAAGCAACCATAGGCAGGGAAAAGAAATGTGTACTCACTACAAAAATGGAATTACACTTCAATCCTTAGGACAAGACATTAATCGGGATGGCAGCTAATACACATACTTAATCTGTTGATTCGTTTTTGATTAGGTGATTAATAAAGTCATCTATATAATGGCAGAAATGAGTGAAAATGGTCATTTCTGTTTCCTAGAGTTGGGAAGTTGGTGACAACGTCAAATGACTTGTTTTATCAGAACAACAATCCAAAACAGAGAAAACAAAACAAATCCTCACATTAAAGGAGCTGGAATCAGATCATGATTTGCACTTTTCACTGGCTGTGAAATTGTGACTAATTGGTTCAGCTCTGAATTAAATATGATAAATCCAAGTAAAATAATTAAAACTAATACTGCAGGGCCTAATAATAATCATAATACCACAAAGCTGGTATTTTTCCTTTCTTCTCACTGTGTACCTTAACCTTAAAACCTGTTTTATTTGGACTCCTTTTTACTTCCTAGTGACACGGCGGTTGTTACGAGGTTGTCATCCCTCACTGCTACTCTCCCTTTGCTCCACTATGTGGTGCTTCAGTGCTGCTACTGAATCACTGCTGTTGTAGCTGTGCTTTTTAATAAGGGTGATGTCAGCGTAGCTGCTTTGCCAAAAACCTGTCAGTCACTAAAACTGCTGCGCACGCGCGCGCACACACACACACACACACACACACACACACACACAACCTGCATGTGTTGTACTTAGCGTTTTAAAGCTACTGTACCACTTTGTAGAAACTGGACATCTGCTTTATGAGTCTTCTTCATAATTTCTTATCCACTTACAAAACAACATCTTGAAGAAATGAACTTGAAGGCATAATGACCACTGAATAGTTGCTTCCAGATCCCAAAAGAATATTTTGTCTCATGGCTCTTTGTGCTTTCTAAGTAAAGGCTTAAGAGTCAATTAGGTGCATGGGTCCTTAGAAACACATTATTATTAGAAGCAAACAGACACAGCTCAGGGATCAACACTTGATTAAAGTACACTTAAAGACTGTAGTAATTAGGTAGAGGGCCCAAAGAGAGTTTGTCACTATTTGTACTATAAACAAATCCCCTACAGGCACATCACATTCATTTCTAAGGGGAGATACTGTAACACACTGCCAGGAGAAGCAGTTTACATTTACACAGATGTAGAGAGCAAACTTTAAATGTGAAAACCAGACTAAGTTTTTAACTAAATGAAAAGTGCACTCCACGTTTAAAATGCGGGGGAGTTTAATTCATTTAGGGGAAAATAAGGAAGGTGTGTGTTTCAGCTATAAACCGGTAATTAAACTGATATCGGCCTAATGCCAAGAATTAGACCATAATCCTTGAGGTCCTCGGTGATTTTCCCCTCAATGAATTGTATCCCTAAAAAGGAAAAAATGCACCATTTCATCTGAACACACCCAATTATTTACTTTGTACAATTTTCTATTTTTTCAATATGCACCTGTTGAGGGTACAAGTAACCTTGTTAAATCTAGTGGAACGATTTCGTTTCAATTAGTAAGTTCTGGGAAGCTTGTTTTGTACAAAAAGGATCTATAATTCAGCTGTGGGGACCTGAGGCTTTGCCATCTACTTAGTCAACATTCAAGGTTTTGTTGTGTTTTTTTTGTCTTTCACACCCTTTTCAGATCCAGGGAGCATAAAAGAGGCCTTGATACAGCTCCATCAATTCCATTAACATACAAACACTAGATTGTTACTCCGTACACATACCAGAGTGCTCTTCACAGTGGGCTAGGTAATCATTATCACATTATGTGAATCAGTGGCAGCATTTATGGTCCAATTAGCACTCAAACAACACAAAGTCAACATTGTTTTTGCCTGTTGTATGTACATAAACTGTCCTTGGTTTCACACATTAATCTCTCACACAGCGTGTGCAGAGAAGCAGGACCCACCTTATTTCCTCCGTCATGCATGGCCCAGCCAGTGCGCTTCACCCCAAAAGCTACTTTGGAGTCGGAGGCATCCAGGCAGGTAACAGGATGACCGTAGACTGAGTGCAGTGTCCGTGGCTCATCCTCTCGTGGGTCTAGCAGGTACACGGCCTGTCCTGCTGCCACAGCTGCCAGCGGGCACTGCTGCCTCCTGCCTGGCACCAAAACCAGGCTCTCCACCTGCCATACAGACGATGCAGGGGCACACTTGACTCATACAGCAGTAATAGTGACATCTCCAAGGATTTAACTCCATTTGTGATGTTCATTCCACAACTTTATGCATCTGTAGTGTCGCTTGCATTACATGCAAAACAAACTAAGGCAGAAATTTATATCAAATGTCTTTAAAAAAATTAAATGTCATTTTCATTTCTCTAAGCATTTCTATAAACATGAAGGGGTCTCATAAAGCCACATACTGTACAAAATAAACCTGCAACTGATGATTTTTCATGAAATCAATTAATTGGGCCATTTACAGTCAATAATACACAATTAAATGTGCTAAACAATGGGACAGCATTCATATGGAAGCTCAGTATACGAGTTAAATGATGTTGACCCATTATTTGGCCCCAAACAGGGGGGTGTCAGGCCGTGCATCCCTGAACCCTATTCTGTGTGAAACACAAAGCATCCCTGAACCCTATTCTGTGTGTCATAGCATAGCATCTGCATTGTATTTGCTAAGGTCAGTCAGTGGCTGGACCAGCTGGCTTGTAATGGCAGTCACCTCTGAGAGCAGGGTCTGCTCAGTTGTCTAACCACTGACACTGTTCTATTCAAGACTGTCTTAACAAAAGAAGAATACACTGCTAACATCCACTAAGCCAAAATGTATATGTATGTCTAAAAAGACCACAGTTTTCTACATCCCATGGTGACAGCTTTGCCTTTGTGTGTGAACCAACTAATGTTCTGGATTTTTGCTGTGTAAAAGACTTTCCTGCCAGAAACTGCAAAGTCACAAAATATGCAATAAGTCAAGGGTGTCAAACACTTCCATCTATATATGATAAGATATGATATGATAAAGGAAACGTATCAGGAATCAATCTGTCCCACTTACAGTTTTGGGTAGCTGAGCCTGACAGAGTGTTCTCCAGTAGCCGTGATCATTGGCACAGTCAAACCGAATGTCAGGCCCAGCAGCAGAAACCAGGACGGGACTGTCGGAGCTCAGGGCCAGGGCCTGGATCCTCCCTGGGCTCTGGTAGTGATGGATGGGCTCTCCACCCGTCTCTGTGCTCCACAGGTCCACACAACCTTTGCCCAAGACAGTGACACATAGTCCATTAGTACCTTAATAACTGACTTATTCCTGACAGAGGTGTCACACAGAGAGCTAAACAAGAGACAAGATATGTTCTACTAAATCTTTAGAAGCCACATGTGCATATATGGGCAGAAATGACACCTAAGCTGCTTCTGGGACAAGAGATATGGTATTGACTTACTTTTAGTTTATTTCATAGCTGAGGATTTTCTGCCCACAGTCCTACACACACTTACCATCTTCATAAGCAGCAGCAGCCACTGTGCCGCTGACCTGGACGTGACTAACGTATGGTCTGGGCTCTGTATTAGCTGACAGGCTGTTGGTCTTCAAGTACGAGGCTGCCGAGTCCCAGTGTAGCGTATCCCACAGCCTCACATCACCAGACGTGTACCTGAGACATATACAACCGCATCAAGTCACATTACACACGCACAATTCAAATACTTAGCTTTGTACAAAAAGGCAGGTGAATACAGCAGCAGAACTGTTGCCCATTTTCCATCCCAGGCTGAGAATTTGTCTCTTCAAAAATACCTGACGTCACCCTCTCACCACTGAATCATTTCCCCTCTCACACTTTCCTACTTTACTCACACTGACTTGTTATTATGCTTTCCAAAATCTTTGTTATGTGATCTTTTGAGGATTACAGGGCTGTTGTTTGGGTGAAACATTTCAAGGACACCGAGAACACCAGTCACCATGAACACCAGTCTACAGCAGGAGGTGAAGTTTATCCTACTGAGGCACAAAACTTTTGAGTATAACCGCAGTTAGCTGTGATTTTCCTAACGGGTAATGCAGAACCTTTACAAATGAACATGTCAGATTAACTGTGATACCCTGGCACTGTTTCTGTTAACAAATAAGACTGTGGTTGAGACAAGGTCTGTAATCGTATTCATTTATGATTAATCCATCATGTGTTTTTATGATTAACTGATCAATCAGGTCATCTATAAATTGTCAGTTTTTGTCTGCGCAAAAGTGCTAAAATCCAAGGTACGCACCACAATGATATAAAACAAAGAAACACGCTAAGCTGTCACATTTGAGACCCTCCGACCACAAAGCTTGTGCTTTTTTTGCTAAATGAGAAAACACCTGATTTTCAAAACCTGTTGTCACTATATTCTACACCAACAAACAAATTAATCAAATTGTTCCAGCACTGCTTGAGACAAGTGGCAGCTTCTAGCACACATACCAAATGCCAGTGTTTCTCAAACTTTACACCGGATTTCCCATAAACCTGGTTGATACGTGTTCAGACCTGAAACCTAGTCAAAAAGGCAACATTTGCTTATTCCATCTTCTCCAGTTGCTGCTTATTCATGATATATAAATTTGATCTATAGAGGTTGATGGTCACCTCAGTGATAAAGTCTGCATTAGTTATACAAATGTCTCAGAACATGCTGTGCTAATCATTAATTGGTTTTAAACAAAAACTACACACAGTCCATCTAAAGTCAAATTTTATCCAGCAACATTACTTCAGCAGGCTTGAAGGTGACCTTTACAAGTTCACCTCCTCCCATTTTACTGACAAAGCGTGGCCTTTATCTCCCCTCCACAACTGACAGCAGAGTCACCCCCTCACACTCAACAGGCTTCTGGTCTGTTCTGTTCTGTTCTGTTCTGGAGCCCCACCCCTTCTCCTCTCCTTCACTCTTTGCCCGTGTCAGCGAGTTCTCACTGCAGGAGACGACAAACTGCCAGCGCCACCACCTCCACAGATACCATCATGTCTGAGCAAGCATCCGCCTGGCAGCCAGAGCGTGTGACACAGTGAGAGAGTGTGACAAAGGGTGTACATGTGTGCACCCATATGTGTCTGTGCGACTGGCATCCCAGGGTTTGACAGGAAGAAAACAATAGGAATACACACTTCTGCTTAATTGGTACATCCCCTCAATGCCAACTATTAACAGGATGATGATGCTGAATGTCATCCATGTAATTTGTCAAAACTTTTATGCAGAGGAAACTTTGTGCATTGATTACTACGATCTTTGTGCAAGTCTCAGCAAATGTGGCCTTTATGTCACTGTGTGACTCCATGAGGTACTGAGTTAAAGAGACAATGTCTCCTCTTGCTTGTTAAAGCACAAAAGGTCATTTTTCTGGTTTTCTAATAAGGTTATGTGGATGCAATTTAGTTATACTTGAGTAAACTGAACTGCTATTGATTGTTTTCTTGTCAAACTGATTTAAGTACATTCACTTAGCTAAATTACCTTTTAATTAACAATAGGAAAAGTATTGATATTGTGATTTTGTTAATAACTACACTAACAATCAAAGGTCTGGACACACCTTTCCAGTGTGTCCAGACTTTTGCTTAGCAGTGTACAAGATTAGAAATTAACTTTGCAACGTGCCGTTTTTGTCTCTATACTGTTTTTGTGCTACACCTGCTAACCTGAAAAGAGACAAACAATCCCCAGTGAAACACAGGAGGACTGAGGGGAATCTAATCACATCCCTGAAGATGCCGCACATCTCCTTTGTGGGAGGGTCATGTGAGTCTGCACAATCTATCACTGTCTCACCCCAGTTATATCAGAGCAGCTTTAGTTACATTTATTTATTCAAACACTTTCCTCTCACCAACCTGTGATGCCATTAGCAAAGTAAAAATGTGACAATACATAGACAATATATTCTAAATCTGATCAGCAGTTAATTTTTTGCACACGTTGGGGGGGGTTGAAGCAGTCACTGGGAACTGTAATACGTCTCCACTGCTGTCTGAAATTAGTGGTTTGTTTATAGTCTTAAAAGTGTCCGTGTGCTAAACCAGAAGTCTGAAATCACTTTACGTGACGATGTTTAAATTAATTTAAATTGGTGTGACCAGGTAAAGTGTTCAGACCAACAACCATGTTCACAAATCTTGCTCTATCCGTACCGGGCAATCTTGATTCTTCAGTTTAATCATATGCATTACTTTAACTGATTTGAGACTATATTTTTCACAAAGGTCTACAAGAAAACATTACTTTAAAAACTAAAAATGTTCAAACTTGAAGAGCATATTTTAGGTTTTATACCTAAGAGAAAATTAACTAAACAGGAACTGTACACAGTCAATTTGGTTCATTCAGTCTGTTTAAAATACTTGAAAGCACCTTACACTGTAACACATCATACTGATATTGTATTTCATCAGCAATACAAAATGAGAACATTTTAACCTGGGGATTATTTATCTATGGAGATATATATAAGACAATATAAGCTGCAGAATGACAGAGATAACAAGGGAGTCAAAGCTCCAGCAAACATTTATCCACACCAGATGTCAGTAGTGACCTGAAGATCTCGAAACTCACCCAGCCAAGACAAAGTTGTCACAGGAGCAGACATCACAGAGCACCTTCCCCAGCTCAAACTGCAGCTGGCTGATGGATCCCACTCGATTCTAGACAGAAAATATTAGTTATTGTCAAAATTGCAAGTTTGTTACTTGTCTGTAAAAGAGGGGTTTTTTTCCCCAAACCTAAATCAGAGAACTTTCCCATCATTATGTTTAAAACTCAATTTGAATGTTGTTTATTGTAGTGTGTTGTATTATATTACAGTCAAAACTACAAATGAGAGCGATATTGTACAGTCCATGGGTGTGCTGCAAACTCCACACCAGCTTCTGGTGATGAAAGGTAAACTGTGCACACTCCTAAACAGATATTGTATTTGGGGAATAAAGTGACTGTTTCACTAACAACTCCAGCCCACCTTCCAGTTGGAGCGCACGGTTTTGGCTGAGTTCCTGCAGTCTCGCAGCGTACTCTTCCAGCATGGCGAGTCGCACACGCTGGCATCCTGATGATAACCCTCCGTCGTGCACATCTTGAACCACAGAATGCTGTCCTCTGCAAGGACTCTCCATGCCCTGCTCACCTGGAAGGAGATTGGACAGTGTAACTGTGGATTGAGTCAGCATGCATTACCAGCTTGCATCATTTAATTTACTGCTGCTTAACGAGCCATGCTTGCTGGCAAATGGATTCTGTGACACATGATGTAGGCTGGTCACACAAAATGTCATTTACTAATTTAAGTCACATAAGGTGTTCAAGTTGCTCTCAGCAATATTGTATATTGCATATATTTCTTTGTGCAATATTTTGTTTTTCTCTATTGTCTTAACCATATCATAAGCCTTCAGAATGATATGATACCTGTCTGCAAAATAAGCTGTTTATTTTGTATAAGACTCATTCCTTGCAGATGAAGCTGCTTATTTCTTCCATTTTATGCTGTAAAGTTCTTACCAGGCACAGTATTGCCACAGCAGCTTACCTGGGCACATCGGCCTAGATCAGTACAGTTGAGATACTGGAATATCTTCAATGCTAACTCGTATGGCAGCTCTATATCAAAGAAGGGGATGTCAGTGACTTCATTCTGCAAAATAAAACATAAATTAAAAAAAAAGAATGACATAAGACATTATATACTGAGTTGATCTTGATCAGCCACCATCCACATCATCCTCATACCAGATCCTGAATGAGCTGATCCACCAGTTGCTCCTCTTTCTTGGCCTTCCTCTGAGGCTGCAGCTGCTGTAGGGACGCGCTGCATTCATTGGTCATGCTCTGATACTGCCTCTTTCTCCTGGTTCTTTCCTCCTCAATCCGGTCCAGCAGGGGACTGGTCCTCCCATCCAGCAAACTATGTGCAATGGACACATAGTCTGGCTGTTCCTCTGACTCAGCTTTTGGTCCTCCACCTCCAACAACACATTCTTCGTCCTCAGTGCAACCTTCATCCTCGAGTTTTAAAAGATTAGGGGCCTTAAGATTTTTGAAGTCTTCAAAGTACTTATTTTTTAGGTTTCTCTGTCCTGACTGTCCAGGAACGCCAGAGGAAATGGACGGAGCACAATCAAGCCGCTGCTCCTCTTCTTTACTCGTTAATTCTCTTTTCCAACGTTCTCTGAACGCAGCGAGTTCGTCCCCGGCCATTTTTATCGATCATTGTTGCCAAAATACAACTACGTAGTATTATAAAGCGGTGTTGTATTCATTTATTGATTACATACAGCAGTTATAGGAAGTAATTTCCCCACAGCGACAAACAAACATGCGCAAAACAGTATGTCCTTCCTTATAAACAGTCCGAAGAGGGACAACACGATGCGGTGCTAAGGTTCCGCTAGTTTTAAATTCCGCAGTTTTGTTATAGATGCGGGAATTCTCAGGGGTTACATAAATTTTACAGTCACACTGGCAATTGTTCGGAATACAAATGCAAGCATTCATTTCCATACCCATGCCATGATCATATTTGAAAATAATACAAAGCGCATCTTTTACAGATAAAAATGAGAAATGAGAATGCCCCAGAACAGCCTACATGTAAAACAAAAGACTCACATCAAACCAGACAGGAGAGATTCAAGAGTTAACCATCGCATGTCTCTTTTGGGAAAAGATGATGTAAACCCCACACCATGTGACACTCTAATGAATAATACAGTGGAGAGAGGGAGAGAGAAAGGGGGAACGCAAACACAGTTAAGGTTTGATGAGAGAAGAGAAAGAGGGATCATATATCCTCAAGACTTAAAGAGAGAAGACTAATCAAAGAAGATGTGCTGGCTGCCGATAGACAAGGCTTTACTCCTGCCCGGTGACTCGACCTGCAGTGCCCGCAGACCGTCGCCGTGCTCCATGGCTCAGCTGCTCGCGTCGCGGCTGCGGAGGATCGGGGACCAGCTGGAGAAAAGCTGGACGGCGGAGGAGACGGACGGCGCCTTTAGCTGTGGGAGCAAGGGGACGACGGTGGTGACCGGCCGAGGCCACCTGAAGCGCTTCCTGTGCAGTGCAATACACTTCACCGTGCTCGTGCTATTCGTCGCACGGCGACACCTGTAGGACACGAGGCGGTAACAGGTGGGTTAAGTGTCACGTCACCTGTGCAAGAGTGTTGTTAATTTAACGATCGCCGGCCATTACGAAAAACAACAGTCTAGGCTGAAACAAAACTCTGTTGTGTGGAAAAGCGAGTTGAAATCATTTTGAATACCTGCTGCTTGGAGTTAAATTAACGTAGAGCGCAGTTTGATTGTTATACGGGGACTGAGAAATCATCTAGTACTTTTTAGTAACTTTCTTTTTTGTCTTCCAAACTATATATTTGAAATATTTGAAATATTTAAAAAAAAAAGCGCTTTATAACCTGCAAAAGTTTGGAAATGTTTCCACAGCCCACTGTAGGCTAAGCTTAATTAATTATCAGACAAACGTCATAAATTTAGCTACACTAACATAGCGTGAGCTCCTTTAATCACATTCATATTTTGCATGTTTTGACATGCAAAACTTATGCTTTTAATTACTTTACATGTTTAAACTGACATAGTTTTCTTTATTTTCCACACAAAATGCACTTTTAACTTTCCTATGTTGAATTTTACTCCAAACAAAAAGTTGCTTAGCCTATAATCATGAACATAAAGCGCAGGTAAACTATGTTTTGAATGGGCAGAATTCTCATCTCAGCTGTGTTTAATAATGAATATAAATGTTTTTAATTGGCCACATTTTTTTGTGTGTTGTATAGGCTATATTAAAATGTGTATCTATCTTTGACAGGTGATGTAATTTTGGTCAGTTTCAGTTGAAAAAGATGTCGCAGGTTAGTGGTTAACATGATGACGACCCCTATAGAATGACTGAAATGCTGCTGAATGCACAGCAACAACTACCTAGAAATATTTGAGTAATTCGGAGCCTTTGCGCTTGTTTAAGCCATTACAAACATTTTAATTTGATAAGCATGTGTTATATGAGTGCTTTATGTCAGTTAAGTTCATCTATTATTTCCTGCATAGATGGTGCCTTTAGGACCACGCACGAGGAACGGCCTCACGTCATCTGCACTAAAAGTCGGAGGACGCGGTCCAGGAAAAGGTGCGCAGCCAGTGAAACACCGACATATGAGGAGATGCAAAGGAAATGTCTGTTTCGGAACCTTGTGTCGTGAAGACTTGCTCAGGCCCTAAGAGTTTCATAACGAGCTGCCACACTGAAGCCCATCAGTCAGTCGGTTGCACGTCCTGCCCCTGCGTGGCCCGCTGATTATGTCAACCCAGTAACAAAACGGTGATGTAATCCTCCCCTGGTACAGTGGAGGGAAAAGCTTACTAATAGTTCTTCCTTGAATATTCACCTCCCACGGTGTGAAACTGGTTAAACTCTCTGATGTATCTAGGCTACAATTAGTGCAGCGCTCCCGGAAAAAAGCACCGGACTAGACCTGTTTGTGAGCGTCACAACGCACTGTACTTTTTTACATAAGCTACACGGTTAAGGGCAAACATGTAAATACTGCAAGGATTAATGTTTTTATAGATGTTTCCACCCTGTTTAGATGATGTCTATACATTCTCCTGTGCTTTAGCATTATCTGTTGGGGGCAGTGTTACTGTAAGTGGCTTTTTAATCATAAACAAGACACAGGACCTGTGCATAGGACATTTTGCTGTTAATGCTGTCTGTGATTTCTGAGAATAGGCTTTCTCTGATACATGTGAAATACATATCTGATATATGTGTAATGTGAGCAGAATTACTGCAACTGTCTTTTTTAAAAGTGTTTGCTATTTATTATACTCATAAATATTTCATATGAATTTTTACCAGTTAAAAGAATAAACTTTCAAAGATCAATTCTCTGCATTTGTCACCACCGCTAGATAAGAAATATGCTTGATAATGTGAGTTCAGCTGCTTTAATTCAAAACCAAAACCCTCAGCATTCCAGTGAATTCAGCATTAAAGTCAATGCTGCCAATTATACATCCCAAGAATGAATATTAACATAAGGATTAACAATGGAAAACTGTGGAGGACATTATCTACACCACATGTGATATAACTCTACAAAATGTCGTGATAATGGTGCCTGGCTGGTATCACAAACAATTATACTCTGAATTATTTAAAGATCGGTAAGTTAAAAGTCATACATTACCTTTTGTTCATTATTCAGTATCTACATAACCATAAGAACTTTTTTTAAACCTACACAGTACATATGTTTGCACTGAATTTCTACTTATGATCGCTCTGTGAGGCAAGCCGTTTTTTTTTTTTTCCAAAGGCTGACTGTGCCGTATTCAGTTGTTCCATTTACGCAACTTAAAAATATCAAATTATGCAATAATATAGACAATATAGTCATGTCAAAAATAAAGAATACAAACAACTGTGTCACATTTTCCACTAACAAGTGTGAATGCTGTTTACATTATCACCACACTAAATCAAGGTAAAATTCTTTTATCAATATTTTTTAAATGTTGTGCACCATCTACATCCTTGGCTAAGTCTACGTGTACACTAAATTGGGAATGATGCCATAACTGTACAACAACTGTCAAACTGACTTGATTCTTTTACACAATACCATGTTGTTGGTTAGGTTTATGCCTGTGGCCTCTACCACCAGCTCCATGTGATTCTCAATTTGTCCGCACTGAAAATATTATAATTTAAATATAATCTGCTCTGTGTCATGCTTACCCTAATTTAAAGAATTGCTGCACTAACATAAACAGATGAAGATGACACACCTTTGTCTAGCTCACACTAAAGCACCGTCACAGCTTTACCGGTGCGTATAAGAAGGTGTCAGAGCCTAGTAAATCTGGAAGTGAGCTGAGGTGGTGCCGTCCTTCCAGCATCGCAGGGTATCAATGACAGTAGTGCGGCACAGTGGACACGTTCTCTCTCTGTCGAACCACAAACACAGGCAGTCCTCACAGAACACGTGCTGCAGAAGAACAGAATATTCATGCACAGGTTTCATTTTTGTGACAGAAAAGTAGAAAACAATTTTCTAAAATCTGTGGTAAGCAGTTCTTTCGTTTGGCAATCAAATGAATATGAACATCAGAGGCAATTAAAAATCCGCCCTGCAGGGGGACCTTGTGTCTCTTTGAGTAGCTGACCTCAGTCTTCGACCTCACTTTAAGGACCATTTATGTTGTCAAATATCAATAGTAGGACAACAGAAGCAAATTAACACCCTTCAGTGCATGCCCATACACTGTGATATTAGTGTCAGTTGTGGTTACAAGTGCAACACATTGCTCTGCAGACCACACCCATCAGTGACGCTGGCTGTTGTCAGAGGTTAAACAGACTGTAAACTTTCAACCACAGAGAACCAGGCTGCTCTTTAAATTTGTATGTGTTTCTTTTCATTTATTACATTGTTTGTTTGTATGTTTTACCTAATTCACTTAGTCCTCACCTGACAGAGAAGGGCAATGGGGTCTCTGAAATCCGCTTGACAAATAGCACAGACATCGCCTGCCTCACTGCACTGTTGACTGCCGGCCCTCACTCCATAACTCTGGATGAAACAAAGAAAAAGTGGCAGTTAAAGGATTAAACTCGACTCTGCTGAAGCCTCAGTGCAAAGTTGAGCATATTTATGTGTGTGTTTACTGATATGTGAAATAAATTGGTCTAAACCTGACCTGGGAGCTACAGAGCATGACCAAGGCCTTGCGTATGGCTGATACGCGTCCACAGATGTCAAAAGACTGCAAAACAAAGCACAAAACCCAATCCGTTTTTTATGAGAACAACTACATATTCCCACAAGCTTTCCTATTCTGACTTTCTTTTTATCTTTACTAAACATCTGTTAATAAGACGGACTACAGCCATGCTAGTAGCTCTGTGAGGCTGTTCTTCACTTCAGCATACTAACATGCTCACACTGCCAGTCCTAACACATTGATGTTTAACAGATAAAATGTTTACAACGCTCACCATCTTAGTTAATATGCTAGCATAACAGTTGCTATCACAAAGTGAACCTGAGGCTGATGGGAATGCATCAGTTCGGAGTAAGTTTTTCACACTTCAGACTTGATCTTGGGGACAGATGAAAAGTTAGAGAGATCAATGACGAGATTACAATTAATTCTGAGGAGAACATGATGATTAACTGTATAAATTGTCATGGCACATGATGGTGCTGGGTGAAAGGTCAGGAGATCACCAGAGTCCATATCACTTCAGCCTCTGGAAGACATGATCGCCACATTTTATACAGCCAATATACAGCTGGAACACCGGATTGGCTTGAGAGGCACAGTTCTAAAATGGTTCACTTCTTACCTGACAAATAGGACCTTCTCTGTGATGATTGGCGATTTCTCCTCCACCATAGCTCCTCTCACCTCGGGCGTTCCCCAAGGCTCGATTTTGGCCCCATTACTATTTTATTTGTATATGTCTCCACTTGGTTCAGTCATATCAAGGCACAATGTTCATTTTCATTTTTATGCCGATGACATTCAGATTTATGTGCCACTGACACTGGGCGACAGTGGTGCACTTATCCTGCTGCAAAATTGTATACGTGACATAAAACTCTGGCTATCGCAGAATTTTCTGCACTTAAATGAGGACAAGACAGAAAACACTGTGTTCAGCCCCGACTCCGCTGCTGTGGTACATAGTTTAGGTGCCCTAGCACCTGCATGCACTGGCACTGTGAGGAACTTTGGAGTCATTTTGGACAGTAATTTTGATTTTGATAAGCAGATCAGATCCGTGGTTAAAACCAGTATTTATCATTTGAGGCTCTTAATGAAGGTGAAGCCTTTTTTATCGTATGCCGATTTAGAAAAAGCCATCCATGCCTTCATTATCTTGCGTCTTGACTATTGTAACGCCCTCTATGTTGGAATCTCTCAGTCTCTTCTGCGGAAGCTACAGCTGGTTCAAAATGCTGCGGCTCAACTGTTGTCAAACACTCCTAAGTTTGCCCACATCACCCCCGTGCTTCGCTCACTACATTGGCTGCCAATACAGTATAGAATTAATTTCAAAATATTACTGTTTGTTTTTAAGGCTATAAATGGCCTTGCTCCGCCATACATATCGAATCTTCTCTCCGTCTATGTGCCACACAGAACCCTGCGCTCCTCAGAACACCTGTCCCTGGTTGTTCCTCGGGCTAGGTGCAAAAAATGGGGAGAACGCTCTTTTGCCGTGTATGGCCCCAGGCTTTGGAACTCCCTACCACCAGAGCTTCAGGCCGAAACTGAGCTGGCGGCTTTTAAGTCAACTCTGAAAACCCATCTTTTTAGACAGGCCTTTGGTATTTAGCTCATCTTAATCTTAACTCGTTTTTAACTCGTTCCCTGTTGTTTTATGCTGTTTCTTATTCTGATAGGGATGTCTTTTATTTTTGGGTTTTTAATACTTTGTAGTTTGTTTTGTATAGGTTTTTGTTTTAGTATTGTCTTGTATTAGTGTCCTTTTGTGAAGCACTTTGGGCTCCTGCCGAGTTGTAAAGTGCTATATAAATAAACTATTATTATTTATTAATTGCTAAGAAATCTCAGTCTGGACCAAAGCAGTTGACCCTTCCCCTCCAAGCAACAGACGGACAAACCGACGCCATCATCCCTCAAGCCATGCCACTGCTTAAAACTACACATAGCTGAAAATAGTTATAACAATAACAGTAACAGCTCTCCCCTCCTAACACAAAGCAATCAAAAAGTGATGAATGATCTGTGCAGTTTTAACTGGTTACGTATTCTTAATTTTGTGTACTTATCTGACACTTGTTACAGTTATCTGTTCCTGAGTATGACACAACAGCATGATGACAATGATCATGTACATCACCAGCATACTAGAATACCGATTAAAATGATGTGGTTTTGGAAAACACCGAAGCGCTGCATCTCAACACACACCCAGGAAACTGCCCACCCAGTTCAGCTGAACTTGCCCATCATCAACAAATACATCCAGTGACTCACTGGTGTATTAAAACAAGTCAGGATTACAACAAAACGTGTGACAATCTCACAGCGCAAATTGTCATTGCATCATTTCCCCAAGTTCCCCTTAGTTTCGCTATTTCAACTTCTCATTTAATAATGTGACCAAGATGAAACTCACAGCTGCAAAGTCATTTTTAAGCTCCTTTATGTAACTGCTCAGGAACTGACCTTACTGTCACTTCTAAATGTGGGTTTCCAGTCTCCTTCACTCTTTTCCTTCCACAGGTCCCTGAGATCAGGTGATTTCACATTTAGACATTCATTTGTATTTTAAAAACTCTCAGTGTCCATTTGATGCCCCACAACCTAGTGTATTTAAAATTCATGACCCATTTTATTTCCAATCCATAATAAATATAAAACTTACTGTTAAGAGTGTAATTCAGTGGTTCTGTTTTATCCCCTGAGAACCTTACCCACTTTAATCGAGGTCTCAGAGACAGTATTTTTCCAACTAGAAATACTAAACTTAGTTACCAACATTTTTGTGATTATTTCCAGAAATTCTGAAACCAGATGACCGAATCATGTTAATGAACTTACTCAGTAGCTATTAATATACATTTTGGCTGGAGAATCTTTTTTTCCACACTTAAGTCCAGGGCAAGATACAACTAAATTTAGTCTAGTTTTAGACAATCTTCATTCCCAGAGGATGATTCCTAATGGTGTTGCTGACTTCCTCAAATAGTCATGTAAATCTAATGGGACTGCCATAGTACTGACCGTGTGATGCTCCAGTGATCAACCCTGTCCACTGTCGATACACTGCAAACTCTACTCTAGTGTCACAATCTGACTAAAATGACAGCACTGCACAAAAGTTACCTAATCTTGTAGGATGACCGCCAATATACTTGCCTTACCTTCGTGAAGCAATACAGTATATCCCTTTGATCTGAGTGACCCAGTGAAAGTTCATCTAGCAGGGTTCATCTAAAGGCCTGGGTATGCCTAAAAACAACTGGTTAGTGCAATGTGTCACCCCACTACACTGAAAAGCAAAGATTTTAAGATTTTAGGCACATTCATTCTTATTTCTCAACCTCTCCAGGGTGTTCCTGGCCTCCTGCCCAATGACACCTGGGACTGGCCCCAGTTGCCCCACGACCCAATACAGAATAAGCTGGAGAGGGTCGCAAAGCTCTTTTCACAGGAAAATTTCCTCCAGTGTTGTCAGAGAATTCTTGCTCTGACCAGTGCAATTCTTATTAATGGCTGCTTGCAGTGTTTCCATTGTAGGAACTAAAACCCTAGTATAGTGTATTTCAGCACTAGTAGTAAATCACCCTGGATAAGAATGTCAGCTAAAATGTAAAGTAAAATAAAAGAACCCTAAACACTAAACGTCTACTAAATACTTTGCTGCCACACTGGGTTTACCTTGCAGAGGCTGTAGATAATGATGAGTGTGGCTCCTAGGAAGTAACTGTTGGACGGGTCTTCTCCCATGATGTACTTGTACCAAAGCTGAATGGGCACCAGGGCCCGAAAGAGCTGGCTCAGCTCTTCAATCAGCAGGTAGAACTTACCCTGGACAAACACACAAAAGTAGAAACTACACTAGTATTACTATTTTCAATGGCAGCGTTTTTAAGAGCAAAACAAAGGTAACCTTAGCAGTCTTCACCAAAGTTTCAACTCCATGAAAAAAAAAACATGCTAAATTGAGACAATATGCATTCTTTCATTGATCCACCCAGAAAGCAGAAAGAGCTCAACAGCTTCAGGGCACTCTTCTATCTAGTCAAGAGCAGTGGGGTATTAAAAGCTTAAGACAGCGTGCCTCCAGTCCAAACATGGCTGCTGTCCAGAGCTCCACAGTTTCACAGCAGTACAGGCAATTTCCTCACGCTGCAAGGGAAACTGGCAGCGGCTCTCTCCACCTGCTACCAAGTGCCCACATTAAGCTCAGCCCTACGGGGGCTTGCTAGCTGCCTTTAAAGGACCTCCGTCTGTAATCAAAGGGAAGAAATAAACTTCTGATTAAGTTGCCATTTCCACAAAGTGTGTTAGGTGAATTAGGGGATGGTTAAAAACAAAGGGGACCAAAATGAAGGCAAACTTTCCCGATGGCCCTCGTGGCACCCCAGCTTGCATAATGACTTCTTGGATGTTAGCTGACAAAGATTGATGATTGTAGGTAAAGAGCCACGAGAAACCAGGTTGCTAGGAGAGGAAGACCTCAGCTAGCAGCTAATTCATCTTCCTTATTGTCCCCTCAGCCTCGTATCCCACAGTGCCCATCACACCCACGCAGAAACTGTCAAATCTAAAGTCTGGACACATGCCAAGGAGTTTGGGTAGGCCCCACTGCAGGCCTTGTTTGAGTAATTTCCTGATTTTATTTATTTATCTCATCTCTTCATCCACTCCGCCACTACATACAGAAACACACATAAATCAACTATGCATTTTATCTCTAAGACTGCTGTAATTTATCTATATGGGTCAGATGTGGGATTTAAAATGATTTTAAATCCTTAGGGTACAAATTTCATACACTCCACTAGTCAGAAATGACTTGTCAACCAAACAGTGTGGCTCTGGAAGGATTTTCTTTTTAAAGTTTTAGTTTCATTTAGTACCCATCCTTTATTTTTCTGTTCAGCCATGTCACACCCACTTCCTCGTCTGCCAATTCCAATGAATCCATTTAATTTTAAAAATATGAATTTGACTTGACTTTAGTGCTGAAACATATTATATTCACAAGAAGTGAATCAAATATGTGCAACAGTGAGATATAATTACAAACTCTAAGTTCATAAGCAAGTGCATGCATGTGGTGTCACAACAACATCTAGAATCGGCCTTCTGAAAAGGTTGCAAGACAAAATGACACACAGCCTCTGGTTCCAACTTCTAAAACTACAAATTTCCTAACTTTCTTTATAGCATTAAATATCTCACAATAAACATGGGACTGTTAATTGGACAAAATATGCTATTGAAAGATGCCAGCTTTGACTCTCAGAACTTGTAATGGGCACTATATATAGTTTTATTGACATTTTATAAACTAAAACAATATTCAGCCAAAAATTTAAAAAACAATCAGTATTGAAAATCATCATTAGTCACAGCACTACAGACTTTTCTTGCTTGAGGCCAAAAGAACAGACATAAAGAGCAATAACAACAGAGCAAAAACTAAACCACAGAGCAATATTAAAAAAAAAAACTAATTTAGTAGGGACTGCATGTGCAAAAGACTCAGTGACACCTCTTGCTTGGCAATGAAAATACTTTCATACTTAGGTAGCACACAATTAATGCAACTCAAACACGAGCAATAGATACGAGCCTAAGCCTTCAAAACAAAGCCATCATGGAACTTCTGAATCCGTTCCTGCTATCACTTTGGGCAGACTTGTGCTGACTGTAGTGATTACAGAGCATCATTAGTGTATCCGCACATGGATGCAGTAATGAAGTAGATAGGATGACTGTTTGACTTCATGGAGTTCAGAATGAATGGGACTGTCAGGCCTCCATGAACCAGCAGAAGACAGTGATGATACAATCTTGGATTCCCTAAAACTCAACATGCACCCCATCAAAGCTGTCAAATCCTGTGTGTGTGTTTACTTGAGTATGCCTGGTATAACTCACATCGTGGAAATCGATACCCGTTTACATACTCACACTTTGGGGACTCGGTCTTCCTTGTGAAGACCAATTGTTGATAAATCGTTTAATTTTAGGGTGGTAACCTGGTTTAAAGTTGGCTTGAGGTTATGAGTGAGTGTTTAGAGGTAGGCAAGCAGTGGTTAGGGTAAGTCTCCAGGAAATAAATTTAAGTCAAAGTCTCCATGAGGAATGAAAACAAGTGTGTGTGTGTGTGTGGGTGTGGAGGGTACAGGTAATGGTCCAGCTCCAGGGAGGGATGACCTCACCGCTGCAAACCCCTTGAGGCCAAATGAGCTCAGTTGCCGGCTGCAGTGGTTCTGATAGGCCTGTACAGTAGGTCTGTTTATCAGTGGAAAATTTAATCCTAATACTTTGTATCCTCATCTCCTCCTCCAACACACAAACACACACCATCAATATGAGCTGCACCTATATGGAAGTCTATGTATGTGTGTGTGAGTGTGTGTGTTTGCAGTCATATTCTGTTGCCTGAGGCCAGACCAAACAGGAACGCAGACACCCACTTACTTGCACAAGCTCACCTAAGGAGTACAATTTAAAACCTTATGAATACAAAACAGATTCAAACTGTGACCCTTTAGCATTTTCTTCACTCAGTGGAGTATTTCATCATAATTCAGCAAATATTCTTTTTTAAATTATGAACCAAGTTGTTCAACTTTGACTGTGAACTTTCTGCAACTCAATCACTGTCTATCTGATGTTATGGAAATGCATCACTATGGCAGTTGACAGATTTTACTCATCACGATCAGTTTGGTCACTGATAACACCTGCTTGTGAAAACAGTTGTATATGAGACCAGAGGAAAAAAATGACACAAGCTTGGAAAACACAAATTTGTAGAAGAAAGCCTGTGTTACAGACCGGGGATGTGGAGTCTGAAAGGTATGGACATTTGCTTCTGAGTTGCATTATGGGAAGTGTAGGATCCAGCTTTTTTATGATGTTTCAAATGAAATGCTTGAGAATAAAAAGATGTGAGCACTTAACATGGTTTGGGCAAACATCACATATGCATAAGTAGGGCTGCAATTAACAGTTAGTGTCATTTTTAAATAATTCATTCTAATTAATTACTCCACAAATTGAACTAAAAAAATAAAACAGCAAAATGCTAATCAGAGCCCAACTTAACATCTTTAAATTGCTCCTTCACACTAACCCTAACAACCTACAACTGTTCAAAACTCAAACACACCCAGTTTACAAAGATAAAAAGCAGCAAATCCTCAAATTAGACAAACTGGAACCATCGATTAGTTTTCACATTCATGTATGAAATACAATTAAAAATAACTGAATACAAAATTGACTAATTTTCATCACTACACATAATTAAAGAAGACAAATTTTACTACTGCATCACTGTACACCAACTGCATATTGATTTAATTAATGTGTTGTTCATTAAGCACTAAATTATAAAACTGTCAACTCGGTTATAGGCCATAAAAAGATGAAGATGTCAAAATGTAGTAACAAAAGTCACATTTTATGCATATTTATGAAGGCCATAGAGAAATGAAGGTGGATTTCTTACCCTGGATTTGAAGCCCAGGAGAATCTTGGGTAAAAAGAGGACAAAGCATTTCAGGCTGATGGTGAAGTACTTCAGGACAAAGTCGGTGATGCCCACTGCCCAGATCAGGTCAAAGAAGTCAAAGCTATTCAGGTTGGGCCTGGCAAATATGAGGCTAGAAGAAAAAGAAAACATAATTGAGATGACTAGCTATCAGGAGCTCTGGTGATGGTAAAATGACAAGCAACAGCAAAGCCAATGTTTAACAGAACATAAGAAGCTCTAAGGAAACAAAACAATGAAATAAACACAAAATACTCACAGGACAAGACCAGACAAGAATAGGAACACTCCCTAAAGGAAATAGATGTAAATAATAAAATGGCTTACAAAACATAAAATGGCTGGGGAAAAAAATGCACAGCTACTGTAAATGGATACCTGCTTGAACACTACCTGTTGTGCAGTTCCTCATGACTGAACGTGTAGTAGATATACACTACATTCCCCGCAAGGAACATGACGATCCACAGAGCGACAAATACAGATCGCTCCTCCTGGTAACATACAAAGAGAGCCACTTCACAATACGTTTCCTTACATCTGAAATTGTAATCCAACATGTTTTTTTGCAATAATATCAAAGCTTGTTGTCAGGTTTATAATTAGTGTGGATTAGTTTGACCAAAAACGTGTTATTTACTCCTATTTGATAAAAAATTACCCGACCGCATTAGGAAGACAGAGGCCACATATTCTTGCAGCCCATTTTTCAAGATTTCTTTCTTTGGTAAGAACGAATTGGCTTTGGGTTGAGAGCCACACACAGGGTAGGGAAATTTGAAGATAGTGAGAGACAGACTAACACATTGTTTTGGGAACTACTAACAATAAGGAAAATTACACCAGCCTAAAACGCATAGTCCAACCTAAGACAAAGTGTGCATAAATATCTGCACTGATTTAAGGTGAGAATATCAGATGATGTTAGTGCTTTAAAAACCTCCATCAGCGCAGCAGTTAATATACTGTAGCTGTTTACCCGTAGTGACACTTGGTGTCTAAACGTGGAATTGGCATAGGCAAATGTGCTGGCCATCCCCACGCACACAGCAATACCTGTAAGAGAGGTGCAACATAATCATTAAACCAGACCTCATGCTTCAAATGATACCTTAAGTAGTGTACTATTAGACACTGTTAACTAATACTCCATAAGGTGGTGTACCTAGCTTATGCTGAAAGCAGACTTTAGCCAGCAGAATGAGGATGAAGGGGAAGCCTCTCTGCAGCCATGTGACTACTGCCTTCAGTTCAGACAGTGCTGGGGCCGGAGTGGACGGGTCTTCATGGGCCTCCTCTCTGGAGCTGTGCCTCTCTGAGCCTGCTGCTGTCGTAGCCTGCTGGAGCAGAGAGGAGGTCCTGTGTTGCAAGGGGTGGTGGTGGAAGTGGTGGTGATGATGATGGTGGTGCTGGGGTGGCCGAGGAACAAGAGGTCCACCCTCAGTGCGGTGGGGGCCCCCTTCTTCTCTAGAGGATGCAGTCATCTGGATAAAAACCTCAGGGGGAGAGCCCAGGACTAAGCCAGCTGCCTGAAATTGGGCAGAGGAAACAGAACCAGAGGGAACACCCACTAGACCTGAGAAGATCTGCTGGGGTGAAGCGGGCGAGTCAGGCTTCAGACAGTCAAACACACTGCCTTCATCCAGGCTGCTCTCTGACCCCAGAGTTTGACTTCGGCTCCTGAATGAGGAAAAAATGAGTTGATGCAGAAACAAAACAAAACTAATCATTAGCCTGGAAGATGGCTCTTTATTTCCATTTCTTAAATAATATATTCTTTTAATATGCAATAATTTGTTGATATATCATGTAAAAGAGTCTGCAAATATAACAAATGTATGTTTGTGTATGAATTAGGAGGGCTTGTTTCTTTACCTTCGATACCTCTGCTACACCCTACTTGCAAAGAATAATGAACTACTGAGAATTCAAATACAATACAGGGTATATAGCTCTAAGTATGTGGATGGGCTCTGTGCTGGCCAGTCAAGGTCTCCCTCACCAAATGGGAAAACCGTTTCTTTATGCATCAGGCTTTGTGTGTCATGTTAAAACAGGAAAATACCTTCCCTAACCCCAACACTGACTTCAGCACTGTATGTTACTCTGTGATGTGGTCACATAGCATTATAGAGCAAATGTCAACACCTTTTGATCTTTATACATTAGTGAGTTGCTTCTTCAAAAGTTTTTGTAATCTCATAGGTGTCCATTATTTCTGCAGGGTAGAATGCCATAAAGAGTAGACATTTAGATTCGTATGGATCACAAAACAACATCAGGGAGGCATCTGGCTGGTCCCCTCTTAACTCCACAACATGCAAAAACTACAAACATACAGCCAGTCAAGAACTATCTTCAGAGACAAGAAGAACAAGGAGTCCTGCAACAGATGGCATGGCCACCACAGAGCCCTGATCAACATCAGTCTGTGACTACATAAAGAGACAGAAGACAGTAAGACAATCTAAATACACATAACAACTGCAGCAACTTTGCCAAGATACCAGTAACAAGTGATAACAAGTAACTGCAAAGTAGCTTCAAAAGATGTGTGCAAGTAGCCCATTGTACCAAAGAGAACTGATGCTGTTTCAGTGGTACTGTAGGCTACATTGTGAGCTGGGATAGGGGTTTAAGTAGTTCATGAGGAAAAACTACATTTAACATTTGCCCCTGGCAAAAATTTGAAAAAAAACATGGGACCTGTGTTTTAAGACACAACCCACTATAGCAGGTTAAATAATATGGTTTGGACATTTTCCCTTAGGCTAGCAGATTCACCCACATATATTTGGTGTAGTGTATGAAAACGATACATAAACAAAAGGGTTGATAAGCAGCACCCCTGTCTCACGGGGCTCATTTCCCACCTTTCAGACGGCATGCCATCCGTATTGCTGCTGTGTCTCCTCTGCATGGCATACCGCTCATCACCACATATTCCAGCCCTGAAAATACAACATCATCAACCCTGACTGATAGGTAGACCGCAGGCTTATCTATTTCAGCTATTCTACTTTGTGTTTGTTTCATGCGTTGAACAGTAAATTGCATAACAAACTAGACGACTTTACCTGAATTAGGTCAATGACTTGCCCTTTAGCTTTTGTCATAATTAGTCCAACGTTAGTGCTGTTGCTGCTAAGATGCTCGGATGCTTTTCCAGCTGGAAATGCTTCCTGTATGACGTCACCGCGGCGCCTATCCCACCAATCAACGTCCTCCTTCTCACGAAACCTTATCCGTGTTGGGAATTTGTTTTACTGCTGGTGGATGTCACGTAGATCAAATTTTGGTGGATAAACAACACAATTGCTGCTCATTAGACGTAATGTTGGAAGCTCCGAATATTTTTTTTTTAAACCAGGCGAAATTGCATCATGGAATATTAGCATTTCTCACCATAAATGTTTAGATGAACTAAGACAGAAAGCTAATGCTAACGATCGCTAGCTAGCAGGCTAACAAAGCGGGCTTTCATGATGAAACTGCGCTAGCTTTCGTGCCCACTAAATACTTAAGTGTTTTGCATCGTTTGTATTTACATGCATCATTTGTACAGCGTAACCCTGCAACATGGGTTAGCTAATGCGCTTGTAGTGACTCTGACAATAAAACGGCCCCAGTCTTAGAGTTGATTGTATGTATTAGCTAGCTACAGTTGATGTCTGATAAACCTAGCTAACATCAGTTTAACTTAGAGCCACTTTTACTCGTTTTGAGTTGGTCATCATCACGTAGACACGCATCCTTAACGCCAGTCAGGGAATTGATACCGGAGGTTTGATGATTTGGACTGTCAGTGTCACCTCCGGAACCTTCCCAAGAAAACTATGGTATGATGGTGCTGCGACGGTTACTGAGAAAGCGCTGGGTGCTGGGAGTAGTCTTCGGACTGTCGCTCATCTACTTTCTCACCAGTACACTCAAACAGGTACAGAAACCAACGGTTAAATTATGACTCTGCAACAGGGGTGGACCAAATGTGATGGCAAATTTACCAAAAGAATGCATGGTAATACATATGCATGAATAATTTGTATTTAAACGTTGACTTCATACAAAGTGGAGTAAACAGAACCCCACCCCCCCCAAAAAAACAACTTAGTGTTTGGTGTGACATATCCCAGACTGACTCTGTTATGTGGAGATCTGGGGCTTTGTAGGGGCTGTTCCATACCATGAGTTGCAGGAACTCTTAGTTAAGATAGTTCTTTATGACTGTGGCTTTATGTTTGGGATTGTTGTAATGCTGCTTATTAATTTGCAGTATTGCCTTGAATAGATTGATTCATTGGGTATTACAAGGATGGCTACCATCATAGAAATGGTATAACAGAAATGAAAAATCACTATTGTAGGGCTGGATATTAAAGTGTCTGAGGACAGTGAGGCATTTGCACAGGACAGGATACCCCACTTTCTCCTGAGCCACAGTCACTACTAAATAGAAAAAAAAAAAAAAAAATTGCCATCACAGTTTCTTACAGTACAAAATAACATATGTAAGTAACTTATGTCCAGTCAATAATCCCTAACCCAAAGACAGTTCACTATCATCGCTAAAAAGTAGCAACAACTTGAGTATCTGGACCTAGTCAGTTTTTTTGTATTTTTGCTAAAAAATGTTTTAGACATGATTTGACTATTGAAATTATTGGTGATCCCTTTTTTCCATTGCCTTATCAATTGTTGTATTTGGCTGAGCTCTATTCTGAACTTTTGCTACACTGTACTTTGTATTTCATGCCCTCCTGTGTGAATTTTGCAGGAAGAG